ATTAATGTTAAACTTTAGTGGAAATTCATCTAAACAGTGCTATCTTATCAAAATAAATAAGAATAATAGGCAGTTGTTATTCATACTATTCAGGAAAAATATCAATATTTGCCGATTCTTCAGTCTTTTAACTGATAATAAAAACTTGACTTGTTAAACTATAATTAGTATTGGTAATGATATCATTAAAAACTATAACAACAATATATTACTCTTGTTAAGAAAACAATACCGTCTTCAACAGTAATACATCCCGTAAAATGAGATGCTTATAGAGCCATCTTCTACATATATGCACTATCTATAGATTTGTTCCAATATACATGTAATATTTCTGTTAACATAGGCACATTATCTCTATATGTATACATTATATACATATTAATATATGGATATATACATTATACATATGCTTTTAAACGCATCATATTTTTCTAAAGTAAATAAATAATAGTAAAATTTTCTCTCACAGTTCTTCTAAAATAAACATATATTATGAATGAAAGGGTAAAAAGTGTTTTTAATTAAAAGGGAAACTTTTTGTATAGATTATATATAGATACTTAATTTCTCTTTAGCGCTATTATTCATTTAAGGTTCCAGCCTTGTTTACATTTCCGTTTCCTAAGACTTATTAAAAAAGGGAGTTGATTATTCTGTCCTTTCCTTTTTAAAGGAATATAAGAAAAATTTAATTAATTAATATTTCAGTAAGCCTATATTTTTTTGGTGTAAGAAGATTACAACAGTCTTGAAAAGTGGGAGTTTTTTAAAAAGGAGAAATAAATAAAGAGCAAAAAGAAAAATATAAAACTCTCTTTAGTCATTCTTTAGTTTATATCTACTGTATGTGTATGTTTATATATGTGTCTTTGACTTATTAAGTTTACTATACCAGTTTTTATTCCTTCATTAAAATATAACATATGTGATGTAAAACATACCTTTGTTTTTTTTTGTGAAATTTTTTTTATGTAACTATGTGAAGATGTTCTATGCTGTTTTTGCTTTAAAGTGCAAAATTAGTCATGTTTTTAAAATGCAAACAAACAACAAAAACTAATGAAAACATTTTAAATCTAATAGAATAAGAGTTTAATCATTTCTTAGAGTGTTTCTTTGTATATTATTACTGTTGTGGAGAAATGAAATATTTTTCTGGTAGAAAGATTTGACAAACACTTGTATATCTCCTTCATCTTTCTACATCTCCTTCTTTTTCCCCTTTAAATTCTAATTAGTTTTCTCAAAAGCTGCTTTCTTTAAGCGAACTTCTTTGATGTGTTTGTCCTGTTTGTTTGTTTGTTGTAGTATTAAGTCTTTTTATTTTAACATTTAACGTTAAAAATAGTTTAGTTTTTCTTTACTTTTCAGTAATTGATTATAGTCGTCTACCTCTCTTTATTATTGAGAAATTGATGATAGTCAATACGTCTGACCTATCAATAAATCAGCTTTTTATTTCTTTCACTCCGACAATACCTCAATGAAAATCTATTATTAAGCTTCTCCAGACAGCATTTAAAAAGAAAATAGAACAAATAAGAATAGGGAGAGGTAGAAAAGAAGAAGAAGAAGAAGAAGAAGAAGAAGACGAAGAAGAAAATAACAAGGGAGAAAACGCATAAAAAAATCATTGAAATAGTTTCAAAAGATTTTTTTTTTACCTGATCTACATGTTCTTACTAGGCGTTGGGTTATGCACAAAAAGGAGAATATCCATCAAGTGCAATATATTAGTGTAGAAAAAAAAAGCTAACGAATGAGAAGAGGGCAAAAGAGAAATTTACTAATGATGTATATACAGTATTTTTGAATCTTCTATAAGCTCCTTATTCAAAAATAATAATAAAAAAACTATTCTAACTAATTTATTACAGATCAATTGATTATTTAGATTTAACCCAATTGGTAGACGTCTTCTTTTATTGAACTGTTTGAAACTTACATGCTCTTTAAGTTTTTCTTGTTTAGCCTTTAGCTGAGCTTGTTTACTTTGCTCTGTTATTTCCAGTTTGGTCTCTAAATTATTTTGTGTTTCAACCTAAGAAATATATATATTAGTATATATGTTTATATATTATATATACTGCAAAAGAGATTGATCAATTCGATAAAAGGAAGAGATGAAAAAAGAGATTATAAAACCTGAAATGAGGAATTCATTCCTTGAGCTTTTTCTCTCACTTTTTCTTCCCTTTCCTTATTTTTAGCTAATTTTTCCTTCTTTTCCAATTCAACAATCTAAATAAAATTAGTTAAGTTTGAGTTTCATTTTATAATTACTATCAATTGTATTTTTCTATAAATAAATTGAATACTTTTCTCCTTTCTTCGGCATTTTGTAACTTTGATTGAATTTGCTCTTGTAAGGTATCATTATTCGATCTTGGTGACGTTTGAATAGGCTTTTGCTTCTGCTTTGCAGACTCTAAGATAATGTCGAAAGCAACGCTGGATTCTTGAGCCATTTCTAAGCAAATAGTATAACACGAATTGAATAACTTTGACAAACTACCGATCGACTCGCCATCTAGGGAAATGAACCTTATGCTGTACATTTTTAAAACGGTACTATTAGTCTCATTCTGATTTTTCCAATGCTTTTCCTAGACTGCAATAAGAAAGGAACGATTATAGCAATTCGTTTTCTAACTGATGGTGTTTTCATTGCACTAAACTTCCTTGAATGATTTCCTTATGCAAATGAAAACTACTTTTCTTGGCTTCAAAATTCAAGATTTAATTAAACGTAGAAACATTTTCTTTGTTAAAGATGCTAAACTAAATTATAGTAGCTTTTATTTAGCTTTCCTTAGGGCTAATACTAATAAAAGTACTTGGTAAGAATACGATCCTGCCTAAAACTAATGGAAAAGATGCCGATCAAAGAGACTTATTTGTATATTTATAGGCTTTCATAGCAAGTTGGAAGATGTTATGATATGATATTTTTGTCAAAAATAGCTATATTATACACGATCAATAAAAAAATTATGAAGGAAGAAAGCGTCAATTAGTAAAAGAAAAGTAGGTACCCAAACTCCCCTCTCTAGATTGTAAATAAATACTGTAACCAGATACTAAATCAACGAATAAAGATTGCATTTTCGTAAATGATCATAGTTGGCAGTTGTTTTTTTTTGTATACAACATTTTCACCATAAACCAAGACATCCAAAGGAGGAGAGTTTTCGTCATTTTTCTACTATAATCATTATATTTAACAAGATCAGAAACTACAGAGATGACAGACTTTATCTTCCCAAATGAAATAATACATGTGTGCATGTTTTTAATCAAACGAGCATAAAAAACGATATAAAAAATAATTAATATCTTTTGCGTGGATGTAACTTTTCTCTCTCTATCTCTCTCTCTCTCTTCCTCCAAGCTTTAGTTATTTTATCCACAACAAATTACCAATATAATCCTAATTTTCGACATAATCTCTATCTACCCTCTTTTCTATTGTATATTTGATACAAAACTATCGTAATTATAGCGATGGTTCTAATTAAGCACTTTTTTAAATATTTTAAATTAGATTGTACCTTCATAGGGGTCGATAATGTCGAATAGATAAATCTTCTTATTCAATATGCTATTAGAACGGATAAAAGAGTGCATAAACGAGAGTATCCTTCAGGCGATAAGGATTACGTATATTGAAGTAGACCGCACTAATTAAGCTATAGGAAGTGAAAACGAATGAGAGGAATCTCAATTTCTTTTGTTTATAGCCTCAAGTTCTGTTGATATTTAAGCCTTGTAACGGTCCCAATCCCTTACAAACAGTACATATGTTTATAAATAGTATATATAGTAGTAGTGGACCGTTGGGGAAACGTGAACATACCTGTTTTATTGATAATACTACAGCTAAAATATTGGCAAATTGAAATCAGATTTATAGAATTTTTTACGCATAATACAAAATAGAAAATATCGTCAGAGTTTTCGTGCGAACGGATTATCGATAATAGATTAAAGAGCCTACTACAAACTACACTTACAGAGAGGAATTTTCCTTCACAAGATAGTTAAAGCTAGACAAAGTTCAACTTAAAATGAAGCAACTTATAAACATTTAAAAAACACAAAAGCAAGTAGACGTCATTAAAAATATTCCACTTCCTATGACCTAATAGTTTCCGTTCTACCATTATTATGAAAAGAATCTAAGACTATCTAGTTTATTTCTGATCATTGTAAAAGAGTTTACGAAGTTTCTATTTATCAAAGATCCATACGGACTGTCTTTTAAAAGATATCTGTCACAATGTGTAAAGAGATCTAATTATTAGACCAGAAAAGTATAGTATTGTGTTCGTATTTATAAGTACTGTGCATTAGTCTTTATTTATATAAAAACTAAAGATAAAGCACAAAAGCTATGAATATATTTACATACAGTATAACAACGCTGAATATTCATAACTATAACTTGGTTATCATCAGATTAAAATTCAGTACAAGTGCCAGTTCAAGTCGGTTTAAATACACCGAATTTTGTATTCACTCTCTATTGTAAATAGTTGGCTGAGTAAGTGCTGTCTGAAGATAAGAAGAATCTCTGTTTTACTACAATAGGAAATAGTAGTCATTCATAAATATTACAAAATGTGAATGTGCATATAGTATACCGGAAAAAAACGGTAATACTGCAGTTCAAACTTGAATGTAGGAAAATTCCAAGATCAAATGAGTCTTAACAAGTCACAAGCACGTTTTGAGAAACTAAGGGAAAATTAACCGCAAATCGTTTCCGGTTGAACTAAATAGGAAAATACTAGTCATACGATGTTTCACTTCTTTCTTATAATAATCCTGTTTCGGTACATAAAAAAGATAAACTATACTGCATATTGAAGAGAAGTTCAAAGATTCTTGAGTCAATAAGATTTCCTTATATGATATGTCGTTGGAATATTGCACTAAATTTAGGCGATTTATTCCTTGTGTATATAGAAAGTTGTTGTCAAATTGAAAATGACAAGCTTCAGCTTAGGAAATGAATCCTGTCAATTTTCATCTTTTGAAATAGAATTTCTTTTTAGATAGAGTATATACATTATATAGAGTATATAGTATATATACATACATATATATACAGTATATATATATATAGTATATATATATATAGTATATAGACCTATATAAATAAATTGTATTTTACAAAAATAAAATCTGAAAAATTTAAAGTTAAACAAAAAAATATAATTTCTAAGTGTAGTTTATGCGAAAGAGTCAGTCTGTTTTAATTCTATTTTCTCTTCATCAATATCCTTTTCCCTTTCCTTTTGGCTTGATGACAATTCTTGACGATTTTCATTAAGTGATATTTTAATAACACCCCTTGTACCGTCTTTAAAAATGCTATCTTGTCTACTAAATTTTACACTCTTAATCTTTGGAGCATAACGTCCAGTTCTATCGGCGGTTTTGGCAGGACCCCAATCAGCTGCTGGTTTCATTAGAGCCTGAACAAGCTGATGGCCTCCTTCAGTACAATACCGATACAAAAAGAATATAGGAATCATACTAATGGGAAACAAAGCAACCAGCCATCCTAAAACGATAGCCCATTGCGGGTACTTGTAATCGCCTAATGTCATATTCTTATATGATATACTATTGAATAAAATAGTAAGGAATATAATTAGAGGTGTAACAAATTTCCAAGTTACTTTCCAATATAATCCAGGTGGTTTACCAAGCATAAGTTCAATGTCTTTTGAAAAAAAGTTATACCCGTAAACCCAATTTATTGCTATAACTTCGCAAAAACCTATCACTAAAAGTGGAAATCCTCCAGCATTCGAATCTACAAGATTAATTATATACATCCCACCGTAAGTTACCATGGGCAATCCTAATAGAAAGAACTTCGCCATTACAATAACTCTGAATAAAATTGAAGTAGCAGTGGATTTTCTGATAATATGAGCCCATTCATCAGTAAAAGCACAAATAAAGCACTCCACTTGCGAGAATTGCGATCCAAAACCTAGAGTAGCCATCATCAGAAAAAAAAGTATAGCCCATAAGGCAGGTACAGGCATTCTTGCTATTGCCTCTGGATAAACTTCGAAAGCTAATCCTGGTCCACCAACAGCGACTTTGCTGACATCAACATTCTTTTCATAGGCCATAAATCCTAAAACACTAAAAATTACAAACCCCGCATAAAAGGAGGTTAAACAATTAATAAAAGCCACAATTAATGCATCTTTAAGGCAATTCTGTTTAAATTTGTTGAACGAAGACATCGCAATCAGCCCTCCTGTACAACAACTTAATGAATAAAATATTTGTGCTGCAGCCTCACACCAAACTCGAGCATTTAGCAACTCACTAAACTTTGGCTTTAAATAGAAAATGATTCCTTGCGAAGCTCCCTTTAGAGTAACGCCTCTAATTAGTAATATAGTCAGCATAACATAGGGGAATAAAGCTGTAAAATAGACAACTCTGCCCAACGATTGTACACCTCTGATTAGACATATCAAAACAATTGACCAAGCAAGTAGTAATAGAAGACACAATCTCCAATTTATAGAACCAATATCGTCAATACCAGAAGATTTCTGTAGAACATAAATGTTATAATATTCCTGGGCTGCAGTTCGGTAGGTCACATTATTTAAAGTTGAATTGCTAGCTGGAAGAACTACCGAAAAAACTGTCGCGTTCGTCCCACTCGAATTATAGGTCATTCCCGATGTATTATGGTTAGAATCTATACAAAATTCAGTGTTCCATTCATGATTACAATTATCCCATGGTATTCCAGAAAAAATGGATTTAAAAGATGCACAGAGAAAGAATAGAATATGGCTTACTATTACATTGTAATAGATATCAAATAGCCATACAGTGGCCACAGTGGCATAGCCAATGCCCTTAAACAATGGATTTATTTTCCAAATTGTCAACGGTCCCAGACTTGCAAATTGGCCAAAGGATAACTCAAGGAAGAAAATTGGTAAACCAATTAATAGCAGCATCACAAAGTATGGTATTATAAACGCTCCACCTCCATTTTTATAACAGAGATATGGAAATCTCCATATATTGCCCAAGCCTACAGCATAGCCTATACAGGTAAACAGAAATTCCAATTTATTGGTCCATTGTCCTCTTTCATTTGGTTCTTCTGGATCCTGAAATAAGTCCAAAGGTGTAGAGTCCGTCTCTAGAATATTATCAGCCTCGTATTGGTCCTCTTCAATTGTGTCATTGGTATTTTTAAGAACTTCTGATGGATCTTCATCAACTTCTGTAACTTCATTAAGAACTGTCCTTCTCTCAATCGTGAAAAGGGATGGGGCAGTGTCCATTTCTTATTATACTTTGAACACTTTTTTGTTGTATAGCTGATTAGAATAAAAAAATTGTTCTTTAAAAAAATTGCCCTTTCCAACTTATAATTGATATATAATCTATATATATTTTATTATAATAGTTGATTGTAGATCAGTATATAAAACGTCTATATACAGTATATATATATGTATATATATATATGTTTATATATATATATATATACATTTATATATAAATTTTAACTGTGAATAGGTTGTTCCGTTAAAAGAACTAAAGGCAATGATATGGGCTTTTTGGACGAGTTTTCACTTTAAACTAGCACTTACTCATTCTGAGTTCTTTAAAACAAGAACTTATTATATAATTCGGAAAAAATTACTAGGTCAAATAGGAATACCCAATTCGAGAAAGAAATTAGTTCTAGAGTAAATCCGGTTATTTTCGTTTATTTTCGTTCAAAATTTAAAAATCTTGATAGTTTTTTCTTTACAAAAATATATGAAATGATTTTATGCATTTTAAGAACAAATTTAGGTTTTTTTTTACTACCTGCCAAAATGAGATCATTTATTCTAGCCATTTTTTTCCGAAAATATCTACAAACCTGTTTTTTCCCTACAAGTCCATTAAAACACAAATTTCACGTATCATCTATCGATTTCATTTAAAACAATTGATCAATCCTTTATCTTTTGATAGCCTAAATCATGATTTAATGTATTTTAGTCCTGTCGTAAATTGCACTAGGAACCAGTCTAAACTCTTATAAGATTGAACACGCGGAATCAAAATATTGGACATAGCACAAAATACAAGGTGAAAAAAGCCTCTAAAAGGACAATTGTGAATTGTTGTAATACCTTAATTTTTTAAGAATAAAACCCTGAGATAATTTGTAGGTGATTATAACGTGACGTCGTTTTGAGAATAAATAAATACATAGAGATATCTATATATATCTATATATATATATAAATTGGTCCTTATAAATTATTGTAAATATTAGGCAATTTGAATATTTAATATTCATTTTACTGTGAATTGAATGAATAACATACATATTAATAATAATAGAGTTTTAGCTTAATCTTGAACTGTATGTACAATATATTATTAAACATAAGCCTATTTTATTGAATATTTACAAGTGACATCTGAAGCATTCGTCGCATATTTTCCTAAAAGAAGATCCTTTATTGATGAGTTATCAAAATAGCTTACCGTTTAGTAGTTTACTCTATAAAGCTTTATGCCAGTACTTATGTCTTGTATATTTCCTATTTCTCTCTCCTTAATACAATGGAGTCTAAGGCACAATAGTATATTGTTTTTCTGTATAGACTTCTTGTTTTCTTTTTCGCCAACTGGATGATATCTCTGGCGACCTCTGCTTCTTATTTTAAAGAATTGAAACAATAGATTTCCATTTTGTTTTTTAAGTATTACACATTATCCTCTCTCTCTCTCTCTCTCTCTCTCTCTCTCTCTCTCACTCACTCACTCACTCACTCACTCAAGATCTCCCTCTCTCTCTCTTCCTATCAACAAATAGGATGTTCTGACTCACATATAGAATTGATCTACTGAAAACTGTGCACAACATTTGAACATTTTATTATGTAATATCAGTTTCAAATTCAATAAATTTCCCCTATGCTCTGCAACATACATAAAATACGGTTAACATCAGTTGTATTTTTCCACGTAATCAGCAAAATAAAACAATACTTCCGGATGTGAACTATAAAAAACAATATTTTGAATCTCTTTATTTCCTCTCAGTTGAATAGTAATAATTTCCCATAATTTTAAATAGGCCTAAATACTAAATCTTGCATTCATGTTTTTAACGGCCTTTATATATATATATATATATCGCATTGTATCTATATATAAAATTCAGAAGAATCACTAAAATTATCTTCCTATTCCCCTTTCCTATTCTATTTTAAAATTATTTGTTTGTTTATTATACCCCTAAATAGTTAAAACTTTCAGAATTTGTCCGATTTTTAGGTAAGTAGAAGCTTAGAAAAAAAAAACAAATTTGATTAATTAGGTTAAAACGCAGAATAAGAACCAAAAAAAAATGTTCTTAAGAGTCTTACTTAACCGACAGGTGAGGAATTATTTCTAAAATTATACATTATTGAGTAATTTTCCAAAGTTCATTTACCTATACGGACTTAAAGATCTCTTTAAAAAATTCAATTTGTTATCAAGTCATTACCAACACTTGTCCATAAACTCAACCAATCCCTCTTAACTAGTTGAAATAGTTGAAATACTTTATTGAACTAAATATGCCTAATATTAAATGGGATATACATGAACCAAGAAAGTGTCTACACTAAATAGAATAAAATACAGCAAACACGTTTAATTCGTTGAAATAGTATTATATTCATTTGTATAATTTTGTTATTTCTTTATATTTTGATAAGAACATATGACCCTCTGTTATAAAGCTTTTTTTGCATCTTTTTTCTTTACAACATAGAAAAAATATCCCCTTTTTCTCCCATACAAACGAGATAAAAAGATTCGATACATTAACAAAAAAAACCTCTATTATTAGGAGATGAAAAAAAAATGTTACCACAAATCTTACTAAGTAAAGCCAATAGGCCAGGGAGATGGAAGGGAGGGGAGGGGAGGGGGTAAGGGGGAGAGAATTGTTTAGGCAAAAGGATAAGTCTTTTATCCTAGAAGATAATCGACAAAATTGTCAAGTTAATTTTTTCCTTATTACTTAAGAGTTTTATCGCACCTATTGATAGAACTGACAAGAATAATTTAAACTCAACCTCTCTGTATTTGAAGGTGCATCATCATAGAATGGAGTACGCTGCACCTAATAATAAAAATTTAAATAGTGTTGAACGAGTCGATAAAAATTTGAATCATTTATAGGTTGATTATAAGAGAAAGGAAGTGTTGATTGATCTTTTATAGAAGGTAAAAAGAGAGAGCAAGAAAGGAAAAGGAAAGGTTGGGGATAAAAGTGTAATAAGAGGCTTTCAAGATGGTATGTATTTTCATTCCCATTTAGAAGGGTTCTATAGCTACAAGTTTGAATCGATAATCAATTAAGGGATAAACTTCTTTTAGTACAAAAAAAGCTCAGCTCATATGTAAATATGCCATATCTAAGTTATATCAAGTATTTATATATAAATATATATATATATATATATACTAATATACATATATATACTGTATATACTGTATATTCACTTGAAAAAATACTGCAATCCAACAATATTATAAATACTATACAGTATTGTTGTTTGACAATAAAAGTTTGTAATATACAGCTTCCTAGTCGGTATACAAGACTAATCTAAAATAATTTTGAAAGAAAGAATCATACCGTTTGTTATCCTTTGAATGGCTTGTTCTGTTTGCAAATGAAAGTGTATTTTAGCAAGAATTCTTCACTAAAAGTTTTATTTTTAGACGAAAACCTGACGAACAGATGCTGGGCATATTGTGTCCGCCTTAAAAATTGAGATGTCTTCTTCCTTCTGTCTTAAATCCGAACAAAATAGTATCCGTTATCTTCCTATATCCGTTTAAATGTAAATATTATCTCTCTTTCTTTTCACAAAAATTTAGTATATAAGAAGATGGTTTAAAGGAGGTTTTGGAGAAGAGAATTCTATAATGCTTAATATTTCAACTTCAACATCCAAGCTACAGAAAGTCTTCTGTAATGAAAGGGCAAAGAGAGCAATCTTTATTAGTAATTATATAAATAATTAACGTGTCAGTTAATAGATAATATTTAAAATTATTTGTCACTTGCAGAGATATATTGAGATGAGCACAGTACTATTACCATATTCCTTTACAAACATATTACCTCTTTTCCTTTTGTAAATTTTCCTATTCCTTTTTAAATCATCTCTTCCATTGTAAAAAAGAAAAGCAGAGGTCTATGGCAGCTCAACTAAGCATCAGCTACTGAAAGATAGTAAAGCGAAATATTGTTATGTGGCTCCCTCTTGCAATTCTAAGATTTGTAAATACGTTTTTTTTAATGCCATGGTCTTTAGATAATCAAATTTTAAGTCTTAGCTACTCTTTTATCTAACTCCTTTTGTGATATTTGAGGAACAAGAGCTAAAATTTTCTTCAGGGATCATTAGATTTGCATTTTCATTCCTTCATAACAATTGTGAAGAAAAGATGAATGGCTTTCCATTAAGGTTATAAAAGATAATATGCGATACAAACTAATAAAGTATAAAATAATAACAGAACTATCACTCCTACGTATAGGCTTGTTTGTTGTTTTTCTATAATTGTATCTATTCACTCTAAGCATAATTAAGTCGTACAGTGAAGTTTACATATTATATTAACGTTTCTTTTTTATCTGAAAAGGCTTGAAAAGTAGTAATCGACCTAAACTACATTAGAATAAAGGTATCTATATCACTTTTCTTTATATTTAATGTTCCAAATATAAAAATTTTTACTATCTCTTTCCAGATTATTTGATCTATTAATTGATTATTTCTTTATTATTCCACTATTTATATTCGTCATTTGTATTGTTGACTACATAAATTATCTTACATCCCTTTAACGTTGTGTCAATTAACCAATAATAAAAAATGATACACTCATCTGTCTAAATACATAATTTGATAATGACTTACGCCCAAATCGTCAAGTAATGTAAATATTTTCCAATCTCTCTCTCTCTCTCTCTCTCTTTCTCTTTCTCTTCGTCTCTATCTTAGTAGGGATTATTTTAGTATTAACTTTAGTTGACAGTCTTAATGGGGTTATAAGCAAATAAACTTTAGACTAGCATCTGCTCAACAAATAAAAAACGAGGAAAGAATATTAGAAATAAAAGTACGTTTCAATCATTTCTTCTTCCAACAGAAAAGCTAAGAGAATATCCCGGAAAAATCGACAGATCTATAGTTTGCCTCTATCTATATGCTAATAATATTTAAATCTCGAACATATTTTTAAATCCACCTTTTCTTTTTTGTCTCTTCTAATCCTTTTTTACGAAATTACATAGAGATCTTTGCAAATAGGTATAACCTTCCGATATTCATATGGGATATTGCTTATAATGAGTATGAATAATTATTTAATCGATTATTGTCATAATATTGATATGAGTTGAATATACGACCTGCTTTATTGATTTTATATTGTTAGAATAGATCAATCTTTCATTAGTTGAAAGAATATCTTCAAAGGTAAAGAGAATATAAAAAAAAAACTTTCAATTTTGTCTGCAAGAAGTTGATATACATATTCCTTTTTCTATAATGTAATGAGAGAGAAAGAGAGAGAGATCATCATAAAAGATATACATTTTTAGGAATATTACACTAAAGGAACATTTGAAACTTTGCAGGATTACTATATGATTTAACAAAACAAATAACAGATATTCTTTTGTATAATTGCGGTAAGAATTTTTAAGATAATTTACATAATAACATACTGCAAAATACTGTAAAAATGAAATATTTTAGCATAAATACTAAAACATTTAAGAATATTTAAATATAATGAATTGTATTAATAATTAATAAGCTCTTTTTATTTTCTTATATATCACGATATTCTTAGATTAGAAAGAGGATATCTTTAACTTTTATTTATTTTTCTTCTATTCACCAAGGGTTTTGAAATAAAAAAGGATTATTATTATTATTTATTAAAAGAGATATTTCTTTCTCTTTTCTCCCCACACCCCCACTCCTTACCCTTCATTATCATTCTTAAATAAAGAATTAATACATAAGAATATCTTTCACCATAAATTTTATATTCATTTTTTGCTTTTATTGTTTGCTTACGTTCTTCTTTTTTTTAAAAAAAAAAACATAGTACTGCATTTTTATAACAGAAAAAACAGACATTTAAATCTTTTGTGGAGTTGAATAATTTAAATTTATTTCGCAGTTCGATAGTATGGAATTTAAACAATTTTTAACAAAACATAATATATGTATTGACACTGACACCCCCACGTTGTAGAAGAAATAAAATATAAAATATCTAAAAAATGCTTTTCTTTATAATATCTAACAAATTTTCGAATTATCGGTTATCGAACTTGAAAACAGAATGAATATTGTTAAGCCCCACAATTCTCAATATACAGTATATATATATATATATATATATGTATTTTCATATACAAATATAGATTTTATTTTAAGGGAGGCGTTACTTTATACCTTTTGTTCACTGTCATAAACAAATGATTCATATTTTTTTTATTAAAAAACCACATTTAAAATGTCAAAATTGTAAGCTAATATTAGCTAAATTATGCTGTATTTCTAAGAATTGAAATTTAATATTTGAATGGAAAATATGTAATTAAAAAATATTTTAAGAAATATTCCAAAATATTCTTTTTAATTTATCAATTTTGTAAAAATTCCTATAAGCAAATAAGAAAGATGTTTAAATTTAAGTCGAGTTTGGATTAGTATATAAAAAGAATTCAAATATGTATTCAATACTTTAAATATTGAAACTTTTCAACTTGACTGACTTGGCTATCTAGTATTCTAAAATTCTTTTAGAATGACCTTAACCATATCTTATTCCCTCACATTTATGACATTGACTTTTTTAAGAAGACTATGAAATGAAACAGGTTAGTTATTAATACGAATCCAAGTTTCGTTTTTTTGAAACGTATTTTTACTATTTTCGATTTGTTGTTGTTGTTATTGCCCTCGTCCTAATTTCTATCATTACTAGGCCTATTTTGGCAAGTAAATAGGTGTAAATATTTCAGGATCAAAACGATATACTATAATATAGTTTTAATAGAATATTATAATCATTGTGTTAGCTGTTGAAACGAACTTGGCATTCGCAAAAAAAAGATAAAAATAATAGAATTCCCTTAAAACGAAATGAAATGCACAAGATATTTTGGATTTCTTTTTTATTTGAGCAGGCTATTTTCTCACTCCCCTTTTCCCTTTCTCTTCTTACAGCTTTCTTTGTATTACACTTTCTCTCTTAAGTACACAAATACGCGAAAGACACCCACACACTCACACATACACACACATTCTATACTTATATATATTTAACACAGCCTATCTTTGCCTAGATATTATTCCCCCTATTCTATTTTTTTCTATCTATCTTTTTACGCCTTCAATCGTTCTAAATTCGGTTATAAATTACGTCACACCAACGCTCATAAAAAAAAGAGCATATGAAATTGGATAGATATTTTTAGAGTAAAAATTGTAGTATTCTTTTTTGAGATGGCAATCGATAAAATATGAAATCTATAAAAAAAAAATGCCTTATATACTGTTTCCGCTAGATTTGTCGAAAATATACATAGATTATGGATAAAAGTTCGTGGTTCTCTAGCTTGAAAGAGCACGCTTAAGTATTTATACGTTATTCCATATTGACGATATATTAATTCGAGTAATATCCTAAATGGACGATTTAGTATAGAAAGAAAGATGTAAAAAAGGAAAATGAAATGAGCAAAAGAGATTCCAAGTTAGCTTTCCCTCTTTTTTTTTGTATGTGTTCGAAATCTAATCAACAATCCATCTAGTTTATCAGAATAAGTTAATGAGTTAGATGAGTGCGAATCGAGAATAGATTTCGTAGAATTTGATAAATCTATGACAAAAGGGTAAATACCCTGAAATATAAATGATAAATTCATTACAGGTGTCACATGGTGTCTATTAGAAACAGTCCCACGTGACAGCGTTCAATAAAACTGAACTTTTTTTGTTCGCAGCTCAGAAAGAGCTAAAAATTCGTAGATGGACGATCCTATATGTAAAACTTGATTATCCTTTTTATAATTTATATTAACGTACTCTCAGCAACTTTCGTTGTCAAGGTAATAATATTTTTATTAACATTATTAGATACGTTTGTTTACTCTGTCATATTTTTATAAAAGAAATTAATTGTACGTTTATCCAGGTTCCCCTTCTCAATAAATTCGATAATATATAATATAATCTCAATAGGTTATATTCCTTTCAATAGATATATTATGTCATGTTTTATTTTCTCTCTCGTCAAATGTTTACCCATGCAAACATTTTCAGAGTGCAAAAGTTTTAATATTACCTCTCTTTTGTTTTTATAATTTTTAATTAATAAAAACAACCTAGATTTTATAGAATTTCATTATTTCATTAAGAAAGTTTTACTTTCCTTATCTTTATCTTTCTCTCTCTCTCTCTCTCTCTCTTTCTCTATCTCTTTCTTTCTAACTACTTATCCTGCTCTATTTATTTCTCAGTTTGTAACTTTGCCTTTCAAATGATATTAAATTATTGAAAAGTATTTAAATAAGAAAGGAATTTAGAAAGATGAATGAAAATATCAATAAACTAAATAAAAGAGAAAAAATTAGTATTTTTTTTAATCTAAAATTTTAATACGAAATATATTAATTCGTGAAAAAATAAAGCGTCAAATACTTTGATGGATTAATTTAAGATCATAAGCCTATTTCTGCAATACAAGGTCAACGCTCACTTAGTCGTTGACCAGAAATTTTTACTTTAGTATGGATATTGTGAAATAAGTAGTTATTTTATTCTTTTCAATCTCAAATCGTTTTTGTAGTAGTGAAAAAGAATAAAGAAATAATAATAATCAAATTTAATCATTCATAAATATTTAAGTATTGCGCAATATTATGTTACTAATAGAGTTATAGAAACATACAATTCCGTAGAATAGTATCAAGTAGTCATTATACAATAAGTATATGGTTTACATGGCAACTGGGCAATGATCAATATTGTATTTACAGGGTGACTCTGGGACAAACTCTGCAAACTTCTGCGAGGGCCATGTTTATTCAATACTTACGTCTATTTGTTTTGACTGCTATCTTGCAATACGTCAGCTGCAATGATGAATGTCCAGTTACAGAGGAGAATTGTCGATGTATTCCAAAATTTTCTGGAACTAACTACACATTTTGGATTGAATGCGAAAGGTTAGGCGTAATTAACAGCGTTCCTGAATTTAAGCAATACTCAAGGCCTGTTCAAGTTTTACAAATTAGAAATTCGAATATAAATCGTATAAACAGCGATGCATTTAAAGGTTTAAATATTGAAATATTAAAATTGTTCTCATTGGGTATACAGCAACTTGATGAAAATTCATTTAGAGGATTAGAAAGTTCATTAAAGGAGCTTTACCTTGATAACAATAAAATATCCGATATTCCAGTAGGATGTCTTCAAAAGCTCACCAATTTGGAATATATCGGTCTTGATGGAAATAGTTTACTGTATTTCATGGAAGATATTTTCCATAATTTAAAAAAGATCGTTCAAATAAATCTCTTTAATAATCGGCTGATTATGTTACCTGATGGCGCTTTTACAGACTTACAAAATCTACAACTTCTATTAATATACAATAACGATTTGATTGAATTGCAATCGGATTTATTCAAAAATCAAAAAAATTTAATCAATTTAGACGTCCATAGTAATAAAATAACGGAACTATATGAAACGACTTTCAGTAGTTTAGTTCGATTGGAACGATTGGACGTCTCTAATAATAAAATAAAATCAATAAAAACTGGTACATTAAAGAATTTACGTAGTTTAAAATTCTTGAATGCTGCTAGTAATCGAATTACAACTCTACCATCGGAAGGTTTCTATTTTAATCCAAACTTAGAAGATATAGATTTAAATAACAATTTTATTCAATCAATTCCTGACGACTGTTTTATTGAACAAACGGATTTAAAACGATTAAAACTTGGAAATAATAATATTGGTTCTATGAAAAAGAATATTTTCACTGGTCTAATCAATTTAGAAATATTAACTCTATATAACAATTCTATAAAAACAATACATCCTGAGACTTTTCGCGATAATAGAAACTTACAAATACTGAGAATACAGGATAATAAAATTACTGAATTGGATAAAAGGATATTTGAAAAGAATTCCAAATTAATATCATTGGATCTATCGAATAATAACGTTCAATTAAATCATATGGAAACCTTCCATTCAATGAAAACTTTACTAACTCTTAAACTTGGAAATAATCGAATTGAACGTATTCCATCAGGAGTATTTCGTCCACTTACGTACTTATCTTATATGTATCTAAATGATAACAATATAAAGAATGTGAAAAGTGAAGATTTTTCAACATTGCAGAATTTAACCTCTTTGGATTTAAGTTCAAATTCTATTAATTCTATTGCTGATAATTCTTTTAGGAATTTAAAAAAGCTTTCCAGTCTGAATTTATCTTTTAACAAAATTCAAAAAATTTCCAGAAAATGGTTTGTCGATATTCATAGACTTATAAATCTATATTTACATAACAACGAGATACAAATATTGGGGAACAGCGACTTTCAAGACTTGAATGATCTGGAGGAGTTGACTTTACATAATAACCAACTTATCTCTCTTACATCCCTATCTTTATCGCCTCTACCATCCGTTAAGATATTAAGTTTATCTGGAAATTATATCAAATCTATCAGGAAAGGAACTTTTGATAGTTTAAAAAGACTAAGAAAGTTAGATCTTTCACTCAATAAAATTAAAACTATTGATGAAGAAGTTTTCTCCAGAAAGATTAGAAATCTTCAAGAAATTAATTTAAGAGATAACGATTTACAAACAATTCCAAAAAGTATTGGAGAATTATCATTAATTCAACCCGGTTTATTAAAATTGGAAGGTAATCCTTTGAATTGCTCTTGCGATATTATTTTCCTCAGGGGTTCAACTATGCCGAGTCGTAATAGTACTTGTATGGATAGACAAGGCAAAAGGGGCTATTACGTTATTTGTATGCCTGATTTTGGCTGCCAGAGTGGATATAGTATTCCAAAGTCTCAAGAAGAATATTGCAACAAATATGTACCTTATATTCCGTTATTTACAACTTTACAACCACTAACTACAGAAGCGACATCTATTGCTACAACTGAAATTATAACAACTACGGAGAGTACAGCTGCCGACGTAGCATCGACCGTCACCTCTAGGCAGAGTTCAACAACTTTGGCAGAAATATCAACTGCCACGTCTGTGCAAACAAAGCAGAAGACTACAAAAATGCCTACCATGATGAAAGCGACATCTACAGCAACGAGTAAGCTTACTTCCACTGACCCAACTACTGCGCCACCTACCTCCTTCAAAACGACTCAAGCAGTGGAGACATCTACAGCCATTCCAACAACCACCACTACCCGCCTAACGACGAAGACAACTCGAAAAGTGGAGACATCTACAGCCATTCCAATAACCACCACTGTCCGTATCACGACTCAGACAAACCGAGAAGTGGAGACATCTACAGCTATTCCAACAACCACCGTCCATCCTACTCAAGCACGGGAGACGTCTACCACCGTTCCAACGACTGTCCATCCAACAACTAAACCAGTTGTTGAGACAACCACTGCCAGTTGGACAACTCTCCCGCCTACAACTTTTTCAGGCACTAAACTGAATAAGCATAGCACAACCATGCAAAATGACGTCTCATCAATGAATATATTAACAAAGGCGGAGACCTCAGTCAAGACTAAATTTTCAGCAATAACTTCAAAAAGTACAAAAACCCCTTCAACTATTATCACGCATAGCGTAACTAAAAATAACTTGGACGAGACGGATACCACAATGATGACGTCTAAAAGAATCACGAAAAGTGCTAATGTTGATACAACAAAATTTAATAGAATTAGTCAAGAAACCTACGCTGATTTATCAACAGTAGATTATACTACACAAACGTTTACCCCCAAAATAAAAGTTACAACTGAAGATCCCACAAACAAAAACGAAGAAATCAAAACAACACGATCACCTACTAAAAACAATCACTTACAAACAGAACAAACCGCTATAAATGAGATGACCACACTAGCAACAGAACCACCCGCAGGAGAGAGAATTTCAAAGAGTTCACTCTCAAAAACAGTTATTATAACTATAATTGTATGTTCAGTTGTTGCCGTAATACTTATCTTCCTCGCTCTCCTTATATGTGTTGTCCTAAAGGCAAGAAGGAAAATTACAACTGAAAAAGAAACATCCGATAAGTCAACTGTAAATCTAACGGAATCTCCACCATTTCTAGACACGATTGAAGATGGAAATTTAAAGAATTTCGACGATTTTACAAATAGTTTATCTGTTCAATCGGAAGTTGTTACCAACGATGTTATATACGTTGAACCATTTGGGTAGACGCAAACTACATCTACCCGTTTTCTTATTAATCGATTAAAATGCATTTTCTTTTTGTTTTCAACTTATTAATATAGTATTTGTTAACTAGTTTTTTTTTTTTGACGATTTATAAATACATTTTATAAGAAAAGAGTAACGAGAATTTATTTTCCAAAGTTTTACGAGTTCAATGTCATTTGGGAGGGAAGAGAAAAAAGAACAAAAACAAATTTACGAATATTTAAATCCTTATCTCCTTATTTGGTAATGGTTTCATTGATGTTATATATATATATATATAAACATATTAATATCTTATTGTTAAATCGTTTCTACTATAAAATATTCCCCTTAACCCTTTTTAATATATAATGTATGTCCATTAACAAGACCATAATCTCATAGGCAAGTAATTATGAGACCTAATTTCAATTACAACTTTGGTTTTCTTTTGGAATTTTTTAAAATTCCACTGTAAGCGTAATAAAAAGTAAGTTGAAATATTATTTATAAAAATAGATAGAATAAATTTCTATGACAGATAAGGAAAAAAAAGGCTCAACTTAGCCTAACGGATGTGGCCTAAACTGTATAAAAGTGTCAATCTCTTTTATTCAAACTTAAAATTTAACTTACTGCGACCGAGTCAAAATGAAAATTTCTTTAATTTTGTCCCTACAACTTTATTCTCTTTTCTCTAATTTATCTATAGAGGATGGTCAACATGTCTCAACTTCAATAAATAAAACTATGGAAGAAAATGACAAAAGTTCCAAATCTTTATTCAGGAAAAGGAGATCTAGCTATAATTGCTTAGCGATAAATCCCCCGGATTTAAGTGAAAGATTAAATTCAATTCGAAAAAATACCAAAGACCAAATAATTGGGATTGACGACGAAGCTGAGAGTTTTGGGTTCGATTACGCAAGACTTGTTAAAGGTAAAGAGCAAACGCAGTGCCCAGAAAGTCTTGAAGCCTTACGAAAGGAGGTGGGAAATAGAACGGAGGACGTCGTCTCGTGCCCATCTTATACTGTTCTTAACTTTGACAATGATAGGTTTCCAAGAACAATTACAGAAAAAAAATGCAGATGCAGTAGCAACTGCGAATCAATGCATCCTAAAAAATTATGCTCCTGCCTTACTGATTTAGCGATTGCACCTACTAACAGTTCACCATTGTCAACGTGCAAACCATATCTAATCAAGAGAATATTCTTGGTAAAAAACGGGGAATGCCAAAACGGATACGCCAAATATGTACCACAATTTAGAAAAGTTCAAGTTTCTTGTTCTTGCCAGTCTCTAATTAATTAATTAATTAATTATATTTATTTTTGATTGAAAGCTATGTCCAATTTAATAAATATACTTGTATGATTAATGGTGTAAATACAGATTTTTTGATAAAAAAGAGAAGTTTTAAAAGTTAAAGTAAAAAAAAGAAAATGACTAAATTGTAAACGAAAAGTTAAATTGTTAATATAACTTTTAAATAACCAGTATTTCCAATATTTTATAACAAAAAGCATATTTTTCACTTATAATATTTAAATATATTAGTAAAATGTATATTTATGGTTTGTTAATTTGAATTGAAAAACCATATACATTCCCTTTGTAAAATACCACAAATTTTCCATTTAATCTATTTATATAGATTACCTATGGGAGATGGTTCTTGTAATGTCATAATTCGGTATATTAAGCAATCTGTTCTATACTAAATACATACAATAATATTTTTTGTATGAATAAAAGCAATAAAAGAGAGCTATAAACATTCTATTAGAAAAAGTTTTTTTTTTAAAATAAAACATCATTATTGTTGGATTTTACACACTTTTTATAAGCTCTTGAGATATTCTTGTTTTCGTTATTATTTTGGTATTTCTGATAGTCAAAAATAAAAAATACCTTATTTTTCATATAACCTACTTTTAGAAATATTTTTTTGCATTTTTCTTTTGTTTATAAGAATATAAATTATTAGTTATAAATGAGCGCAACGATAATCCATATAATAACAATGCGAATACAGGGAAAAAAACATAAAAATGAATATTTCAATGGGAAAAAGAGCGTCTTAAAGTTGTAGTACTGGTTGGATAATCCTTTCGTTTCCTTAAGCAAATGATATTTATTGAATATCGTGCTTAATTAAGCCTATAAAATAAAAATGAGCTTTCAATCTCCGTAAGTAAACTGATTGAATATAATAAAGCTTTAGCGTTTAATTATAAAACTGAGAGAGCTAAGTATCTCTGTTTAATAAATATCTACTGTATATAAGTGGCCTATCGAATGAGCATTGCAGCCGAACAATCAATCGGGAACATTGACGACAAGAACAATGGCATAAGATATCAACTGAATATAATATACCATATGGATCATTCTGTTTGCTGTACATGTTTTTTCTTTTCAGTCTTTAGTCTTCAAAAGTTGAAGAAAGACTAGTATGAAAGTTGGATAGTTGACGATAACAAATGGATCTCTTTCTACCCTCAATCGGTTCGAAATTTCAGACTTTACAATCGCATAATTTGGATAAAAACGACAATGATATAAAGAAAGATGAAATTTCCCTTCCGTATAGTAATTTGTTAGAAGATTGGCTAAAAGCTTTACCTCCTACACCTTGTCAATCACTACCACCGGTGTTTCGTGATTTAATAAAAAATGAAAAAAAAAATACACAACGTTATCTAAGACGGAAGGAGAAAAATGACGAGAACAAAGCCGGAACAAAATCCAGCTTATTTGCAAAAAAGAGAAAAAATTTACCAACAATTCGTGAGCAAAGCAGACAAACAAGACTATCTCATATAAATGATTCACTTATAACAACCTGTATGAGCCCTAAGAAATCCGTTAGAGACGACAAGTGTACATCTTCCAAAATTGAGGATGCTAGTCGTTTTCGTGATACATACTTTCCCGACGATGCGTCAACTTCCGGGTCATCGTTGCCCGAATATTTATTTAGTGAGCAAATATTTAAAACAAAACCTTCGTTAGCCGATGGAAGAAGAACGGACCTATTAAAAATACGTCAACAAAGTACATTAAAAACAACCCTTTGTTCTTCGGTTGACTTTGAAAGTCTTAAAGACAATACCCTATACGTTAGTTCAGAAGAAGTGAATGTATTCGCTAAATGTCAAAATTGGTTAGACAATTATACTTCTTAAAAAGTTAATTTATTTTCTTCCTTATAAACTCATTTTTCAGTGTATTTTTACGATTCTTATTTTTAGTTAGCATTAGTAAAATATCCAAATCTAACATTGAATGGGAAAATAAAAATTTTGACGGTAACAATGTACCTATAGACTAATAACTCCTCCCATTTACGTATTTACGGTTTAAAAATATCTTTTTAACCAGTGGCGCCATCTATCTTTTAAAAAAAAAATAAAAAAAAGTCTGCCGTTACCAATTGAAAGTACTTACGCGTAATTAGATTTGTTAAATCTGATAAACGATAATCTAAAATTAGCTAAAAATAGTAATCCTAGTAGAAGGATGGACTAAGTAAATAGGAAAATTGATAACTAATAGGAAGAAGAGACATGAACATTTTTTAAGTATTGACGAAATACCTCAAACATTTCTCTAACTATCAGCAAACAAACAGTATAAAAATCGTTCGATATTTATACAAACCCTCCCTACTCTGTACATTTCATAGATTTATTATAAGATATTAAGAATTCCTCATTATACCAACATAAATTTCATAAATAGAATCATTTGAAGAATGACAATTATTTCTTATATAAAACATATAAAAACTGTACAAAAAAAACAGAAATAAAAACCCAAATCTTTATAAAACTCTTCTAAAACTTTATTGAATCGTAAAAGATATTATATAACTTTTTGGAGAGGGAAAAAAATGGAAAAATAAAAAGTGATTAAATTAATTCTTCTTTAGACTGGTACGCTGGTAATACGCAACAAAAGACAAAAAATTCAAATACTAAAATTTGCTATGAAAGGTAAGGTTATTTCAATTTTTTTTTATTATAAAGTATCCATAATTTTAAGCTTAAAAAAGTTAAGTGTCAATGCTACTTAATGCATTTATAATACTGTATATACATTGTATTATTCTCCTTATCAACAACCCGTTCAACAAGTTTCATAAAAAGGAATATTTAAAAAGTCTTCCACACTTTAAATTATTAACAACGACGAACAGAGAATAGTAGAGGAAAAAACGTTCGATATTAAATAAGCCTAGTTTTACGGTCATAAATATATCTCGCTTCCATAATGATATAGATTTTCGAGCTTGCAACAACGCGTGACAAAAATCCGGATAAGACAGCCCGTATATCAATTTAATTTATTTCTTAACAACTGTTGTTTATTATAAATACTTACTTATTTACTATTAGTAAGTGCATTTTTAACACTTAAAATTCAATTATTTCATTCATAACAATGTTGATTAAATTAATATAATATAAATATTGTTTATAAAGAGAAAGAAGATATAAAATTGTTGATATGTTTTGTAGAAAGATTTAATCGTAGGCTTCAATATATCTTTATAGTAAAAAAAAAAAGGCGAAGGGAACCTATACTACACCAATCAATATATTGACCATGAACGACCGTCAATCGGTAAAAACCGTTTTTTTTTATTATGTATAAACATAGACTGTGAAAAATCAAATAATTCAAGCAGTTACGAATAATTCGTTAGCCGGGTTAACCGATTATTCATTTACTTAGATAGGTTCTCTTTTTTCTGTTAAAAAAAAAACAATCTGAACCTCATTAAGTTACCAACCAACAGGTAGACAGAGCTATGTCGAAAGCCGAACGGGTTGCGTTGAAACCTTCTAGAGTATCGGATTTATACGCCTCCCTCTCACCTCCGAGATCTCCACGTCATCCGAAATTTGTTGATGTTCAAAATTGGAAGGAAAGTAGGCGAAATGTCGACGAAAAACCGGGAGAAAGAAAAGTTGAAACGTACGAGAGACATTTTGTGGATAGAACTAGGCCTGTTTCAGTGAATTTTTCACCGAATAGTAGTATGTCAACAACTGCAAGTTATAAAGTACCAGTTCATTTAGACGCTCTATCGGAATGTTCAAATTCTAAATCGTTTACTATCCGCTCGGATGGCTTAGGAGAAGAGGAATTAGACGCTATTCGTAACGTTGACGATACTTTCAACAGGACCTTAATAACAACTGATGAGAATACTGGTGAGCGAATAATGAAAGTAACCTTTGATGTTAGTGGATTTTCATCGAAAGACATCAAGGTTAAAGCAAATGCTCAAAACGTTCAGGTCATTGCAAAAAAAGAAGATTCGGGCTATAACGAAAGGTCGACAAAAGAATATACCAGAAACGTACAACTTCCTCCCGAAGCTGATCATAGTAGGATAAAATGTTCTAAAAGTGGACGGAGTTTGACAGTTGAGATCCCGATTATTGACAAATCTAATATTAAACCACCAGAACTTAATTCACCGACAATAGTGAAAGATAAAGAGGGTAGTAAATGGGAATTATTAGCAGATGTCGGTCATTTTTTCGATGCGGATGAAATAGTCGTCAAGTACAAAAGTGGTAACATTCTACAAATACAAGCGGAACACATTGAAAATGGCTCGACGGATAAAATGAAAGCCAGTTTGCTTAGAGAATTTCATATTAATCGACGTATTATACCAAGATCGATTAAAGCAGGTTTAACAGGAAGTGGACAGTTAAAAGTGAGTGCTAAAGTGAGAGATGATAGTTTCTAAAAATTGAAGAACTTGCCAATTGCAATTATTTGTAATATATCTTGTGCTAACAATAACATTTTTTAAATATGGTTTACAGAGTATTATTACATATAGATATAAAATTGAAAAAACACAGAGCGATAAAGGCAATTGTTCCATTACAAATGAGTAAAACACTACCCTTTTGACAGTTTTCATTTGGCGCTTTTCACCTTTTACATTCTTCTTTGCTTTAAAGTAAATGAATGAAATATTTTCACTATGTGCTTAAACGTTTACAGATTTACCGCAGTCTTATTTGACAATTGCACAAGCTGATAATTATTCTGAGCTTAGCCTTCAAATAAATTTACATAGCTACTCATAATCAGCTTTAAAATGTATTGAACAAAAAATTATAGGCATAATTTCTAATGTAACATTCCATATGTTATTGTGTTATATTGACACATATCTCATTAAATGATTAAATTCATTTACAAATACTAAATAAATATATAAATAGAACTAATGATAAAAAGTTAAATGCATTCATATTTAATGAATGAAATAACACCTTACCAATCAGTTCAATATCTAGGTAATTCTTCCTCCAAAAACATTCCCAAACCCCTTATCCAAGTTGTCTATCATACATAAAAAAAACTTTGAAAAATAGCTTCTATTGTGTATTATGAAAGGGATGTTAGCCGTTCCAATTTGGCCATTGATGTGACAATGGATTCTATTTCTTTATTCATACCTCCTTATTATCTAGACTTTCTTATATTTTATACGAACAGGCAATTAGGTATATATATATATATATCATATAGACTCTATTTTATCTAGTCATTCAAGTAAATGTGTCTGTTTGAAGAGATTATAACAAATGAAGAAATGATACTCTCTTATATAATCCTATTATTTCTTTTTCCTGTCTATTTCTTTTATCAATAATCTCTTTCCTCTTAAAGATCATTTTGATTTTATCATTAGGAAAAAAGCTCATATTCCATTGTCAAATCAGCAAGATATAGAGATGGCTAATGTTGAAGAATGCGTTAATAATTGTTTGTTATAGACAAAATACATCAACTTTTTACTGTCAGAGCTTTGGGACTAAATCTGTTTCAACGGAACTAGTAGAGTGTTGGTTTTCAGAAAATAATTCAACTACAGCTGATATTGTCAACAACGACTTTTATGATTAATAGGCATCATGTACAACAAGATAAAAAGAAGAAGATAAATCTTAGTAAATTTTTTACTATTGTAACAAATATTCGAATGATCCTATTTAGGTTGTTCAAATCTTGTTAGATAATCTCAAATTGATTAGCTACAATAAGTAATTTAAACTATTTGTTTGATTGTTACCTTTAGTTTATAAAGTGCAGTATTTAAAGACAATTTTACAGGTGTTAACTCATTAATATGAGATTTTGCGTCTAGTTGTGTACCACAACCGCTAAGCCCAAGTATTAGTACGTTAAAGCTTTTTCTACATGTTTTCTTATTAATACTCTTTCTCCTTCTCTTCAATTGCTCTTGTCATCGTTTAACTTTAATTAAAGTGGATCTCAAAACAAGGACGTCGTTAACATGATATTTTGTTTATTTACAAAAATGACCCGTTAACAATCTCTTACTATACTTTAGGATTAATTCTTAGGAAACGTAGGGTAATATTTAGCTTGCCTAAAAGCTCACCTTCTGTAAGAGTTTATCCTCATTATTTTCCTTCTTTCTCTTTTGGGGATTTTGTTTATTATTGCAAAATAATAGCTATTATTTGAATAAACCTATTTAGAATAAGAAAATTAAGTTGGGTCTATTGTTAAGATTTATTCTTATTTGTCCCTTTAATATTGTATAGGCTTAAATATGTTAATAAAACTGAACAGTTGTGTATTATATCAACGTACAGCAAAGATTGAATTTCTTACATACTTTTCATATAAAATAACATTAAAAAACAAAAAAATGTAATCTTATTTCGTATTAATTAACGATCTCTTTTTATTTAATCAGGTGTATACATTAAAAAGTGAATATTTACACTTTTTCCTATTTGTACAAACAATAATACATAATAGACTTTTATAGGCTGAAGAAGCCTATTTTCCATTTAACTGCGAACCCATACTAATGGCTTTGAGATGTTATTATCCGTTTGCTACAGCTAGAAGTAAAATAAACGTATGAATAAGATAACAATCCAAGAGGTAGAGGAAGAGAACAAGGGAAAAAAAAGCTTGTGATATATACTACATAATCTGAATAACAAATATTATAGAGTTAACAACTTTTTCTTGTCAAGATTTATTTATATTATAATATTTATCTGATTCTTCACAGCATATTTTACATACCGAACATATTTGTTTAGTAATAATACAAAAAGTCTAAAAAGTGGATCTTAATACCCTAAACAAACGTCCTTAATTAAGGGAATATGATAAAATGATAGATATTTAGACAGAAATTATCCTGTATCTTTAAAATATGACAATAATTCAAGTGATTTTACTGATTATTATATATTCTAAAAGAGTTTCACAACGTATTTCTAACAAAGAGAATATCAACAAGTTTAATTTAGGGAAAAAGGAAAAAATACTCATTAAATGATTAAAACCATCTGAATACTATCAATAAAGATACTATAACACAGTATAAAGTATAGAAAATATATTTTATTTCATATTTTTAATCAATTAAACTGAAATATTCCAACAATTGAATATAAATATATTAATAATTAATATTTATGTGTATATTTTACCACTTTTTCCATCTTCCTTATAAATAAACAAGTATATATATACTTTAAAATTTATTAATGTTCACTTTTAGTCTTTATTATTCTCCATAAAGTTTCTTTTTTATGTTGTAAATTTAACTTAGTTGTCTTCCATACTTTTATCCATCGTTTTACCTTTAGGGTACCTCTTTTTAGTGTTAATTTTGCTAGTTTCTATAATATATAAATAATGATATATTAAAAATATATTATATAGAAAAACAATAAAATATTATTTTTACTTGGAGTCGGTTCATTAATATTACAAAAAAAGAGATTTTGGTTTTTACCACAGCTTTAACACTTCCGGGGAAATAAAATACAGTTCTAGCAAAAATATGTTTTCTCAAATAAATAATTCATTATGCTTAGTGTCGCCATCTTGAGTAATTTTTTTTATGTTATAATAAGATATATTTATATATATATATAGTATAACAATGCCATTTAGAAGCTAATAGATCTCTTTATTGGGAATATAGAAACGAAAGAAAACAAGACTTGGCGTCTAAACATTATAAAAGTAATTCGAGAGGGATGAGTACATTATAACAATATGAATATACTTATATCGATGTATTATTATCTGATCTTTATCCATATTCGGGTTCAATCGTTGATCTAACAAAAAATTTGCTTTTTTCATTCGATTTTCTTACAGATTAGTAAATTTTGTGTCATTTCTCTAAGATATCGATTAGGTAAAACGTAAATGAAAGGATTAATAATACTATTCAAAGTGATAGATAGAGTAAGAACTATTCCGACACTATCATTTTCATTATTTTCAAATCCGATAAATCTTCCAATTGTTGATCCTGGTATCCAACAAACCATAAACATTGCTGTTATTAACATTAATTGAAAAAGTAGAGCGTTTTCCCGATATTTTTTCTTATTATCGTTAGCAGAACTACCAGATTCCTTATTTGATGAACTAGTTTCAGTAGCATTTACTCTCTTCCTGCTTCTGAGAACGGTTGAATATACCCCATAATAGAAAATTAAGACCAATACTACGGGTATTATTGTAAATAATGTTATGCAAAGAAAAGTAAATGACAATGAAGAAGGATATTCAAATATGCAAATATTCTTTCCGGTTGAAAAGATCACTGGACACCATCCAGTAATAAGAGCTATAGAAGTTGGTAGGAAACCAAATATCCAATTGCTTAGTATCATGAATAAGCAATTTCTCTTTCTAAACAATACTTTACAAAGAGCTGGACGTAATGTAGACGTAAATCTATTATGTTAAATGTTTATTTACAGAAAAACGCCGTGATAAAGTTTTAAAAACTAAACAAAGTCAACCCTACCTATGAAAGGCAACCAAACAAAGTCCAATTGATGAACAATGAACTGATGATGTAATCAAAAAAGCATTTAATCGACAGAGCTCAAAGAGTAGTGGTTTCGTTAGAGGATTGCCGTATTGTGTAAAAATAATATAAACAAATGATGAAGAAAGTCCTAACAGATCAGCTGAGTTCGTATTGATAACGAATCCTCTTTGATCGAATGTAAATCTTTTAGCTTTTGCAAATACTACTATTACAATTATATTGGCACATATTCCCAAAAAGATAATTATTTCCAGAATGATTATCAATGGTAGTGAAAGTTTTACCATCTCCTTTCAACTGACAACGTGCAGAACTTAAAACAAAGTATAATTATATTCCACGTATATCCTTAGTCTTGACTAGACAATCTAATGTTTCCTTAAGCTTGTTGTATTTATGCAGGTGATAATTATGAAAATAAGAATATATTAAGTATTAATAATCTATTGTAACCTATTGTTAAGGATTAAAAAATCTAGCTATTAGAATAATTAACAAAGCCATTTATTCAAGAAATATATATATATATCTTAATACATTGCTAGAAAGATAATTAATTAATGTATAAACTACAATAAATAAGAAACATTTATATTAGTTAATACTAGTCTTTTTATTTATTTATATTTCATCTATTGTCTCCTATTACTATTTTAAAAAACCTAAATAAATAAATAAATAGAAATACGAAATATAGAGAAAAGCTTCTTCTTTTTTACCTTAAAAAATATATGGCTAGAGAAAAAAGTCTTCTATTAACTAAATTATATGTAAATGCCATATTTTTGTCGATTCAATAAAATTGCCTTCCATCATGTGTTATTTATCATCTCAACTTTAGGAGAACACACACGGCATATCGATATAAAAATTCATTATGATTTATTATTTCTACTCTATAAAGAGTTAGTGTGTATGGTAATTAGTTTGACAGAAAATTCCCTATATTAAATTGAAAAACTAAGCGTAAGTTACAAGTTAATTTTCCAAGAAAACTATCAAGGCAAAAGTGTAACATAAAAAAATTATCGCCTCTTTCCAACTACAAGGCAGGAGGAATTGGTTGAGTCATTACAAGCAAAGATTTACAAGTGCTAATGGGATTTTCCTAACTAGGAAAATAACCAGAATCTTTATATGTGTAATAAACTGTCTTATTGAAAGGTTTATAGATAAAATAAATAGACTATGTACTAAGGGAGAAATAATAAATATTTAAAAATAATAGGGAAGAAGAACATTGAATTTTGCTTGTTCAAACGTAGAATTAATAAGCTTTATTCTTTTATATCAACTCATCACTAAGCTTTCCGCTTCAAGTTTCATTTCATCCTTAATGTTATTTGCCCTTTAACAGTCATGATAGGAGTTTAAATAATTAATGAAAGACAGTATTAGTTGGCTTTATTAACTTGTATTACAGATTAATATTTTGGAAAAACGTTATCTATTTAGTCTACAGACGGTTAGATTCGTGCTCAGCGGATCTTATGTTTATTTGACAATCTGTCAGTACCAGTCTGTTAATAATAAAATGAAGGGCGTATTTTTAAATTCGGCTTACAGGCGTAATACCCCGGATAAACAGCTTTCATACAATTATTTATTACAATTTATACGAAATAGTGAATAAAACGATTAATTATCTTTGTTTAACTTTAAAAAATGATGTTAATGTAGAAAATTTTTAGTTATCTTTGCATTTTAATAAAATGCGTTCCGCGGTATTTAGTTATGTCGATTAATGTTCGACGTCGAAATACTGTTCCAAAAGTGTGGTGTCCATGAAGAATCGTCATCTCAATTTCCCCACGATTCCATACTTCCATTTACGACAGGGAGACATGTATAATATCATCCAAGATGTTAAGCAAGGCAAAAGGAAGCAAATAGAATTAATCAGAAATGAACGTGCAAAACGTCTTTTATGTTTGAAATTTGATAGATTCATCAATTTTCGTCCAGTGCATAATTGCGGTATAAATAGTTTGGATTTAGATTCAAAAGAAAACAGATTGTAAGTTCTATACGTTTTAAAATGTAAAATATGACAATATTATGCGAATGAAAATATTTTTTCTTCATTTTTCAGCATGTTATCAGGTGGGCACGATGGCATAATAGCCCTCCATGATACAGGGAAAAAGCAAGCAAAAGAGTCAAGAATTGCCTACAATTGTTTATTCACCATTAATGAATTTAACAACAAAGACAAGCACAGTTGCGGTGTCTACGATGTGAAATGGCTTCCTCAAGAAACAAACGCTTTTTTATCATGGAGTTGTGACAGGTACATAAAAATCTGGGATACAAGATGTGTTCAAGTCAATAGCGAGTTCCATTTCTCAAGACCTGTGTATAAAATAGCATTACCTAAACTTGCCATACGGAGTTCATTGCTAGCTGTTGGACGTGGAGCTCCTAATTATTCCGTTGAGCTCATTGACTTGCGATGTGGTGAAATAAACTGTAAATTTAATGGTCATAGTCAATTAGTTTCCTCTCTCTCCTGGTCAAAAACCAATGAAAATATCATTGCTAGTGGTTCAGATGATTGTAAAATTAGTATATGGGATATTAGAAACGGAAAAGACTGCCTCCTCTCTGCCAAGTCTGACGAGACAGAAGAGGATTATAATTCCAGGGCTCACAGTGGCCCTATAACAGCTTTAGAATTTACGGATGACGGTTTGTATTTGATCAGCCTCGGCGAAGATAACAAACTTAGATTGTGGTGCGCATTAACGGGAAATCTTGTGTACGAGAAAGAAATATTCAAAGTTTCATTAGGAATGTCAATCACAGAAGAATGTAATCCCGATTTGATTTTCATTCCTTCGGGGAATACCGTCGACATCATTAATTTAAGGGATGGAAAATACCTTAACACCCTTCAAAACGGTCAATCTGGCCGCATTAATTGCACCTGCCTAAATAACTCAACTCTGGAATTATACAGCGGTGGAGTTGATGGTAATATCCATTGCTGGAATGATGAAAAAAACTGCCACTAAAATACTCTTTAATATTCGTCAAAATTTGTCATTTGGAAAAATTTTAACCTTTTGGTTCCACTATTTTAACGTTTTCAAGAAGACTTTTGTATTATAAAAAAAAAGAAAAAAATATCAATTTACACTGAAACTGTAAATGTCTGTAAAATAAAAATCAATAAAAACCGCTTCTCATTTTAAGGAAACACATGGTTTATTTGACCGTTAAATTACCTCTCTCTTAACGATTTTCAGTCAGCATGAAACGGGAAAATGCCATTATGAACATATGGCGAATAAAATTATTTAATAGGTAACAAAACGATCAAGTATGTATATTTATTATCCCACATTGTTCACTCTTTGAAAAACAGCTAATAAAATCGAATTTTTTGATAAATTACTGATTAATTATCTGGTTTACACGCGGGTATATTTTTGTTTTGTAATATAAAATAACTAAGAATTTATGATAATAAAAAAAACACAACAAAACATGATAGATGGCATTGCAAGCAACATTTGGGGCCACACTGAAGAATAGAAAAGTATAGTAAAACCGGTTACCAGTGAGACATACTAAAACTGGGTTTATAATTTTTCCAGTGATACTTCATAAACTGTTTCATTTTAATTTTTCACATTTTAAAATATGATGTAATTTATGATTCTTCTTGTCGTTCTTTTGCACTTTTCGCAGTTAATGAAAGTTTTTTATTAAATGTTTTGTACAACGACAAGTTTCATCTCTTCTAAGAAGTCTTTTGCAAGTTGTAATGCTACGTAGTGAATTACTTCTAGTTAAAGAAGGATTTTTTATAGGATTGTCAAAGATTTCCCCAATATTAACCCTTTTAATTAACTGTAATCCTAGCTTAAGCGTTTCAATTAGTATGCTAGCAGAATGACAAACCCAGTTTTAGTAAGCCCCATATGTGACTGGTAACCGGTTTGACTGTGCTTCTGTTCTCCAGTGCAGCCAAACTTGACTCCGATAGCACCGCCACCTATAACCCAAAGGTGTTTTCAATAGCAATCAGAGCGTAAAAAATAGTAAATAAAGTCAATTCTTGATGCAATGAAACTGCATTGTCGATCACATGTAAGTCCCTGAGATCTGTCCTGTTTGTCGACGGGACAAAACCTTTTTCGATTTTTAATCGAACAGCGTCTCTTTGCGCATACATTGATATTAGGCTCGTATTAAAATCACCAAACTGTAGCGTATCAAACATACAGCTATCAAAATAATTGTCCGTTGTGATTGTTTCACAAACTCCTTTAGCTTCGGGAATCTTTTTCTTTTCAGTTTTGATAACTAATCTATCGCAATTCGTATCACAAAGCTGATAATATCGTTGGTTAACGGCGAATAACTCCGGCACCGATATGGAGAAGGAAAGGGCAATTGAAGAACGTCTTATAATTATTGTGGAATTCATGTAGCGAATAAATATTTCTACTTCGTCATTGTTACGAAATAGTCGAATACTCCTAGAGTCCCCACCTTCGGTAAGACCATTACTTAGAACGAACGGAAGGGGATTGCTTCCAGATATGTCAGCAGTATACGATAAATAGTGCTCCTCGGGTGTGCAACTGTCAGTTGGGTGGCTTTTGAATATAACTGTCACCTGTTCAAATGAAGAGAAGTTAGATATTATGCAATAAATGATTGCTTGTGATATAAGCTACCCCTTTCCCACGAGAATTATCTTTGATTAATCTTTAAATAGAAAATATATTTTATTGGACAGAAAATTATCATTGATAAGGCACGCGGATCCGATTCTGATATGATAAGTTAGGTACAAGTATAGGCCTACTTCAGATTCTATAAGTACTTAAAAAGTGACATAAATAAACAAAATTGGCAACCTGATAAAACCATTTAACCCAATAGCATCTCAATTATATGGAGAGAAATTCGCATTGAGGAATAAAATTAAACTAGTATAGTAATTTAGAGTAGCAAAAGGAATTTTACCAGATAGTTATCAAATGATAATGATTCTATAACAAATTTGTTTATCGCAATCTTCCAGATAAAGAATTGAATACACAGATTTTTTCAAATTAAACGGACAAAAAAAAATTTAATCAAATATTTAGCCAGGTAGATATAATGCAAGTTTATTCTCTGTTAGCAGCCCTTTCAATAATCACATATTGATGCATATATATATATATATATATATATATATTAGTATATATATATATAGAGAGAGAGAAGAACAATTATACCGTTATAGATATAAAAGAAACAATAAAAAGTCGTATAAAAAACTCCCTTGCAGAATATATCGAATTAAAATTACCTAATAAATTATAAGCTGTCAACAAAGAAAATGAAATAAATGAAAGGGAAAAAAAATCGAAATATCGATAATTATCTCTGTCAATTGTTACGTTGACAATTCTTGCAATCCCCACCCATATCCCTAAGGGGAAAGGCTGACGCTTTTTTCTTCCAATTAACACAAAAGAGAGCTCTTTTTTTATCTTATCAGACCACTAATATAAGCTTTATGAGTTTAAATTTTAACATCACAGTCTCATACATCTGCGCTTTTCCTAATCTATGAATAACTTAAATTACTTTTATGCCGATAAACAAAATTGAAAAGTAACGCTGGTAGTAAAGTATTTCTATTATCAATTTAAAAAAAAAACAGCCTGTATAATCATAAAAATTTTAACTCTATTTACTTGTTACAAATACCTATTAGATAATTTTTAAAGGCATTTTCTAATACAAATTAACTAAAAGGATATGAGTAAGTATACTCGATGGAGGAGGTTACATAATTAAACCTCATTACTTCTGAATCACTTGACTGGTTAGTTAATTTCACCTTTAGTGTTATCTAACAAAAGAACAGTAGGAAGAAAAACATTATTCCACCCTTTTACAATCTGCTTTCTCAGATACTTGCGTAGAATTACGTGAATACTCTTTATTCGGTGACAGAATCAAATCTCTTTTCTAGCGTTCTACTAAATTCTAACCTCTCCTATTGACAGATTTAAGAGAAAACGAGAAAACTTTCACTTTATATTGTTGAAAATTATAGAAATACTATATAGAGTATCATTGAATGTACTTTCAAAATATTAAATTAGGAGCCTAAAGCGAAATATATTGACTTAAATAATCCGATCTGTCAAAGCACCACAAAGAAGAGATTTATCAAATCCTCCTACCACCCCCACCCCCTACTACTTCGGCTTTACCCTCGTCTTACAAAGAATTGAACATTTAAAAGGTCGCTATTAAAAAATATCCCTGGTAAGCCTATATTCACTAAATTCAAGAATAGCTTCAATAAATGAATAAAAACATTTTCACACCGCTTTCTGTCACGTTCTATTCAACTTGCTATTGTCATAAAAATTTGAGAAATTTGTACCCATAACAAAAAACCTCTAGATAAGCATGATCTCCGCCAATCCGCATAAAACCTTTGAAATGGATTGTCGCAATATATATATATAGATATATTATATAGTCGGATTACTTCTTTAAAAACTTGACAGAGGCAATGTTATTTACAGAATTTACCATATAATTAACCCAGTTAACTTGTAATTTTTTCACTCCTTAAAAAATACGATCAATTATAAAATTATACACACCTTACGAAGAACAGGAATCTTGTTTATTTCTGAAAGAGTTCCAACAACGTTCAAGAATTCGTTTTCGACTAGAATAATCGATCCTGTTGATTTACAGATACTGGAAGAGCCTCGAAAGTTTTTCAGGTGGGATGAGGAATAAAATGAGCAAAAAACTTTAAGAGAACGATCTCTATCATATTGGCAATTTTCTTCTAGACTAGCTTGAGTAGGTATCTGCTTAGGATCGAATGTCACACCTTTTCCTGAACAGCTAAAGTTTTTCATTTGTTTCTTAGTTAATGCACTATTTGACACTAAATACATGTTGTATGCACAACTCCGATTTTCCTTAATATTTTGCAAACAATTCGAGACAGTTCGAAGAATGATACAGGCTTTTCTTTTATAGTCAGATGTCATATTCTTGTGACGTTCGAAAATATCATTTATTTGATAAAAGTCATGTGCTTTGTTATATAAATCCGTCGAACAAATTCTTACTTGTTCATTGCATTTTGAATTCTTTGATACTGAAACAAAGGAAAAAGAAGAAAAGGTTAATTAAACTGTTTGCTCATAAATATATGATATTAGTGCCTGGATATTGCGTAACAAGTTTGATTAATTCTTTTTTGTTTAAGTAAACTTGTCCTTTCATATTTTAAATATTTTACTTTTGATTAAAGATTATTTATTTATATCCAAAAGTATGTAAATCATTATCTTGGATTGGATACAAAATGTGTGTAGGTTTTAAATATTTATTCTATCTCTATTTAGTTTTTCATAAGATAACCAAATAGTTTAAATCCCCTATTCACGAAATGATATTGGTAAGAAGAAAAAAACCTAATAAAGCCTTCGCGATAAGGCTTTAGATGGTGTAAAGATAAAATCTAGTCTTTTCATTGTAATTATGAAAAAAAAAGTAAATTGTATACTATTCTTTTTTTTTTTAATCAATCATTCTCACTCTCAGTTAACATAAGAAAATAAAAATAAAAAACCAATTACAGGCACTTGAGGAGTATTGGTTACACCTGTTCTTATTTTTATAAAAAGCTATTCTACAAACAATAAGATAAACTTGAAAATGATTGACAATTAAAACGAAAAGTAGAGTAAAAAGGAATTGTTTTTTTTATCGTAATCAGTAATTCATATAAAAATTAGGTATTTTATTGCGAAAAATCGTGTTCAATCTCAACAATTTTGAACGAATTTATTAGCTCTAAAACAAAAAAAACTTGAATTATACACATGTCGAACAGATGCGATTGTAACTAAACCAGTATAATATGTGTTTTTATTTAATTTCAATTGATTAAATGTCTAGAATTTACTGTGTAATTTTAAAGAAAGAATGCTAAATAAATTATCGATCGGTGTTTCTCTTCAACTGTTCACTTTTCATTATGGAATTTTGGCTAAATTAACTTTGATCTTGAGAAAAATCAGGCCAAACAAATAATATAAGTTAAATATTGTTAAACCGACTGCTCTATTTAGAGTTATATTGACCGAACGTGCATTTACATATATTATTTACTTGAAAAATTTTAAGAGGACAAATTATGAAGTGTAAGATTATTCGTACAATACTTTCCTTTGTTAAATATGTGGAAATGCTATACCTCTACGTAAATGCTATGAATATTATAGTAATTTCGGATTATATATTATGTCTAAATGTACGTTGGAAAATATATTTGTATATAGGAACAAATACAAAATAAAAAAGTTAAAAGTTTTGAATAGACGCGGAAAATTGATTTCTTTTCATTAGTACACAAAATCACGTAAAGTATATAGACTTAGGCAATATATAAATAAATATATAATCTAATTTTTTAGCAATAAACAAAGCACAGTAAACGATCCTGGCGCCTGTTTGTCATCGATAGTCTAAGCGATAGTCGTATATTGACCGCATGTAAATAAAGTGGGCGATAAAATAGTAAAATTGTTAAAATAGTGAAAATCTCGGCTTTAAGCAACTAAATTTTACATAAAACCAAATGAACTTACCTAATGAATTTGAAGTAGAATTAAATAAAGTTAACAGTAGGAGAGAGCAAAGCGAATAGGTTTTTATACCCATATCCTAAATCCATTCTTTAGAAAGAATGAAACTTTTTAGAGGCAAATTTTCTTATTTTGACGATTGTATTCTTGGCTGTCGTCGAAGTTTTCAATTGTCATTAATTGCTGATTTTTTACATCATACACGTGTGGACTTGAATTGCACTACTTCGAGTCTGTTTCTAATTTAACCTACATGTCAATACAAATATAGGTGGGAAATACTTCGAGGTGAACTAATTTTCACTCTACATATTCTCAAAATGTCGTCCATTTAAATGTCAGTTGCATGGCGCCATTTTAAAGTTCTATTTTAATGCGCTGTCAAACGTGGTGGGTGGAGTTCTAATTGTAATAGAACCAATCAGTGGCGGGCGTCAAAATATGATAGACAACCTAGCCAGTGGGTCGCTCTTGGGTTCCAAAAAGGAAATAAGGTGGTATTGTAAAAGAGAAAAGCAGACGCAATTTGAATCCGTTGAAATTTACATTAATAGTACCAACATAGCTTTTTCTAACGAGTTTTTAATGCTTATCACTCAGGCTTTGTGAATCGTTCGCTTGCGTGTTTCCAATAAAATATTTATGTAACCGTTGGAAAAGCCGTTAAAAATACATCGTTAGAAGGGTTTGTGAGAATTCAGTTAGGCGTTAATTGCTTTAATATAAACAACAATATATATAGCGAAGGTTTTTCGACCTATATATAGGACTGTTTCGAGTGTTCAATCAACATTGTTTAATATTGTTCAAATAAGCTAGGGTATATATTGTGTACAAAGGTGTCGCTGTAGTGAAAAGGAAATTTGTACGTTAAATTTAAAAAACAAAATGAAAGTAATACTATAGCCTCTTTTATATATATAAGCAGTTGTTTAACATAGTAAATTAATAAAAACCCACATCTTTAAAAGAGTGGTTTATTGATAGCTTAAACAGAAAAAAGTTGACATGTCATACGGGGTAATTAAGTGTACGATTCATGCAAGAAGCTCATTAATAACTTAATAGTTTCGCTTTATCTTGTAAACCTGGTACGTTCGTTTACCGTTCAATTAGTTAGATGCGATGTACAGTCTAACAAACCACTTAAATATGACATTTTAATTAGATGTTGCTATTTGAAATTGAACAGATAAAAAAGGCGGGAAAATGAATTAAACTCATCTCTTATTTACTAAAGTTTTATAGCCATATAAAAAAATACAGATTGTTGTTTAGCATAGAAATTAGCCTGTTAGAATAACAACAATAAAAGGAAAGTACGATCTTTTCAGTATGAAAGTTACGAGCCAATTGTGAATAAAGATAAGACATGAATTGTCATCAAATTTTAGCCCTATAATCCGTTTGAGAAAACGTGATGCATGCATTTCTGTCTATTATACAATTAATTATGTATTATAGACTATTTACGCCTCGTAACTTCGTGATGAACATCAAATCTGACGTTAAACCTCTTATCGAATACAATAGAATACAATGAATTTATTTGAACGAAAGGGTATTAAAAAATTGACGCTTTTTTCCTAGTGTGTTTGCCGAAATGACGTCCGGTTAATCCTTTATTGTTAACAAACATCTGTTCAAACTTGACACAGGCAAACTTTCCAGATGAGAACAAAACGATTTATTTAAAAAAAAAAGAAAAAAGAAAAAAGAAACTGCAATAAACATTATTCATAAATAAGTTATCTGCATAACTGTGAATATTTACGTCAAGTTTACAGTATTTTCCAATAGAAGAGTACTATGTTTTCTTTAGTTTCCGGAATGTTTTTTAAGTAGATTTTATAGTAATACAATATTGTTTATTAAGTCATATTTGAAAACTAAAATAGAATTTTTTCAACAGGTGTTCCAACACCATAAAATGACGAAAAAAGGAAATGAAATGTTACTCTTTTCCTTCTATTTTAAGATTGTCTCTCTATCTCTATCTATTTATCTTTCTTTCTTTCTTTCTTTCTTTCTTTCTTTCTTTCTTTCTTTCTTTCTTTCTTTTGTCTACTTGAAATACATTCAACAAATATTTAGAAGGAAATTCAATGAGTAGTAGAATACATAATTGATAACTTAAGAATACTATAGGCTTTCCTAGATTTACACTAGGAATTGTATTATCTAAAATTATCTTCTGGTGAATTTTGACTCCAAGTCCTCCACTATCGTTTATCAGCTGTTATCTAGCAATTTATTAGCATTTTTCAAGCGAGTTCCGTCTTTTGCCAAGTGTTATTACAACTACATTTGAAGGGAGGAAGAAATTATCTAAGCCTTCTACTAGAGAATAAATAAGCTCCATAAGTATCAAGTTGAAAGATTCACCGACAATACAGTCATAAATTTACTTCAGAAAGTCTTTTTCAAGTTTTAATCGATCGTATATCCTTCTTGCTAAACTCTCCCTATTTCTTTCATTTTTTCCTATCTTCCTTTTCTCCCTTTTGACCTCACTTATGCGATTAGATTTACCCAATGTGGTTACATAACCTAAGCTAGCAGGTGCCAACAATTCATTATGCAATTTGTGTTTAACAACTACTCGCATTACACCTGACTGTGATCGATTTGGCAAATAGGTGTTGCGTTTAGGAGTGGTAGAAGGAGGCGGTGGGAGGAACAAAAGTCAATGTATTATATGCTATAGGGGTGGTAAAGGTTCGAACTAAAGAAGGGGAGGAAGTTGGTATGTTAAAATTAGAGGTGTTAGGCGAAATAACTTTGAAAAGAGATCTGAATATAAAACAGCGTTAAAATTACCTTTTTCAGTTGAATATTTGTAAAAAGGTGCCATACAACTGGCACTAAAGGTGTCGCAAAACCTATACATTACACTGTCACTCTAACAATTCATCTACGGGGTGCATCGATTTCGAATTGAATAAATTTTTAATGCTTCGGCATCTGCTTTAGAATATTGTCGAGTAGTTTTTGTTGTTCAAACTTGGGGGTTTTTGTATACCGCATTCTAGATTGAACTGTAATCTAAAGGATAAAAAGAGGGTCTTCTTTTATAAATAATATCTATATATATACTAATATATTGGTTTTTTATTAGTTTAATTAAACTGGGTTTTATTATGTGGAAGTTTTAATCACACGGTTGAGTTAGTAATATGAAAATTTAAGAAAAAAAAGTTCCTTCAAAGGTTGAAATTGTTTAAAAAGAACATACACTTGGTTTGTTCACAGCCAACTGAGCAATGTTAATATTTTAATAAAAATTAATATTTGAAACTTTCAATACCTTTTCAATAAAGAAATCTTTATCTAGCTTTAACTTCATTCCCAACTAATTTGCTATTTTAGCAATACTTGAACAATACCGACACCTTATTAATAACTTGTTAATACGTATAAATAATTTTTTATGCGCCTAACCGCCCATTCGAAACTCTTTTAAGCTTTGTTCAAACGCTTCATATCGTATGCAAAAATCTAATATTTTATGTTGATTTATATACTGTTACTTTCCAGTTTGTCAAAGCTTTTGTGCTTTTTTCGCTAAACTACAATAACATGCCATAAATAAATTATGTAAATTATTAAGAATTTCAATTATTCCCTAGGACGCGTTATTTGCCATATCGTCATTTATATAGAATTGTTAAAAATTTATCAGGTTTTTTTTTTCATCAAGCAACTGATTGCTAATAAACTTGCGGGTTCTGCACAAAATTGTTCTTACAACACACACTAGATGGCGAACGTGCAAATATTTGCATATTTCACCCAGTTTTTACGAAATACAATTGCAACGACACCTGGAAGTTTCAGGTGTTTTAAATCTATTCAGAAAATCGTTACAGAGCTATTGATTCTCTATTTGAAGAATTCTTCTTTGCAAGTGGTAATCAATTATATACATTATTAAATATGATATATGCAAAGCTGTTATACTTAATGCCTAAGCCAATGCAGTGGATCTTTCTGTTCAATACATGTGATTTAAATATATATTATACTATATTCTATATAAATGTATCACAATAATGAAATGATGTAAGTTACTTTGGTCTCTATCGTATATTACTTGCTTCTCTTTCATTATTAATAAGAAAGAAAATAGAGAAGAAATGATACAAGTTTAAAATTTGAATTTTTTCTAATGAGTAATATCAAATCGATATAGCGAGCTCACACCATTCTTATCTTCAATATTTTAAGACTAAATTACTATATTTTCACAGTATTGAACACGTTCTATTTGTTTAGAAAATCCTTTTAAGGGAATAATTGTCTTAATTTATTTATCAGCTATTTTTTTTAATTACAACTGCATAGTAATTAATTTATTAATTATATTGGGTAGATTTTATAATTTATACTTAATCAAGCTAGTAATTCTATTTTTTAAACTTTCATTCGAATCATCAAGGTCAATGACCACTCTGTTACACAAAAATTTCCTAGTAGAGTGGGTGAGTTTTAGCCTATGTTCTTTTATAATCAATAAAATATAGGCATTTTAGTTCTAGTGCCAGAAGTTGACTAGTTGAAAATTGTCGCAATCTACGGTTTAACAGCTTTGTGCTATTTCAGCTTAAAATATTAGAGGTTATATTTTGTTGATGATTTTATGTTACTGATGTTCTTAATATTTAAAATTTTGCAGAATGAACTGTTCATAAAGTATCGGACGAGGATATTTATGATAGGAAGACATAAATTCTCTCTAAAATATCATATCTAGTATTAATTCTTAATTCTTTAGAATGACCTTCAGACTAGCCACAATTTTCTCTAGAATATGTCTGATACTTCTACTTTCAATAGCAATCCTTTCGTTTATTTATGAGTATAGAAGTAATATTGAGAATGTTGGCGAAGTATCAATTGATGAGAAGGGTCTATCATTGAGCCCTAAAGTAGTTTATCATACTAAACCTACATTTAATAAAGTTACGGAGAAGTTAAAAGTAAAAATAACTCAGGACAATTCTTCAACCTACGAATTACAAGACGATATAGATCTGGATAGTTATACTTCTTTATATAGAAATGTATATAGATATGAAAGAACACATGCACCTGGACTATTTGCGAACTTATCGCTACAAGCTGGCTCAGCTTTTTCTGACCAACTTCGAGAGTCAAGAAAATCATATATAAGTGGTATTTTACCTGAAAAGGATAGACCAAAATCTGATGTTATAACAATACTCTTATATCATCCATTCTATAAAGGGGGACCAGCTGATTGGAAATTTGGACTTGGAATGAAAGGATTTAAAGATGCAAACTGCAGAATTGACGCTTGCAATCTTGTTTCTGACAAGTCATATTTGGAAACAGCTGAAGCACTTATATTCTTCACCCCATCTTTCTATCCTCAAGTCTCAATTCCAAATCGTTTTCCTAAACATAAAAGGCCACCGTATCAAAAATGGATAGTTCATCTCATGGAATCGAATGTTTATGGGTGGTTGGATACAGCAAAATATGCTGGTTATTATAATTGGACGATGAGCTATCAACGTCATTCAGATGTTTATACTCCGTTTGGACACTACGAAAAACTAAATAGTGGAGAGACAAACTTTGATGAATCGTTCAACCATGCTACAGGTAAGCATGGAAATCTTGAATTATTGAATAAAACAATATTGCAATAGACAAATTTACCTATAGGTAAAACAAAGTTCTCAGCTTGGTTTGTTAGTCATTGCGACACACAAAGTAAAAGATCGACATATGTGTCACAGCTCAAAGAGCACATTCCAGTAGATATATATGGTCCCTGCGGGAATCTCCGATGCTTCGGTCACGAAAAATGCCATGAGCTTCTACAACGCAATTATAAATTCTACTTGGCTTTCGAAAATTCTTTTTGCATTGATTACGCTACGGAGAAGGTTTGGAAAATTCTCCCCTTGAATGTTATCCCAGTTGTATTGGGAAATGTTGCCTATCAGGAATTGTTACCACCAAACTCATATATAGATGTGAGAAACTTTTCATCGCCTCGAAAACTTGCTGAATATCTCATTCACTTAGATAAGAATGATGCTGCCTATAACAAATATTTCCAGTGGAAAAAACACTATAAAGCTTATGTTGATTTTGGAATTTGGGACAATAATAGATTTGTCATGTGCAACTTATGTGAAAGTCTTCATACTCAAAGGAACAGAACAAAAATATATACTAGACCAGAATTTCATTGGAATGTCGACGCTCAATGTATGTCAGCCAAACAATTCTATAAGAATATAACAGAAGTGAATATCGTATAGTTTAAATATGTTTTTTCTAAATTATTGTTTTATGACTTCCAATACAAATTTAAGCCTCAAAACCTAACGGATGCTTGGCGTTAAATTAATAAATTCATTCACATTTTACCCTTATCCTTATATTGTATAAAAATTAACAAACTAACAAATATACTGTATATAGACTATTCAGTTTTATACAATATATATATATATATAAATACATATATATATACTAATATATTTGATATTTTCACTTTGAAATATAGCGTATACATACATATCAACTTTATAATATACAGTATATATTATATCAAGTTAGACACAAATTGACATTTATACAAAAAATTGGAACATTTTTGTACATTTAATACTTAAAAAAACTATTTCGACGCTCAAATAATTGTCAAAGTAATTCTTTAGCGTTAATTGCAGTTGAAGTTGTATGATAGCTTTAGTAAATTAGCTTAGTTCAAATCCTGAATTGCTTTCTATAGCTATTAAAAGTTTCTTTAACAAATCTTCTTTATTTTGGCATTCTGGTAATTTTAATAAATTCATGCAAGTTGATGCTGTTGGTAATCTATCAATTGGACTTTTATGAATACAGAATTTAGGATGAAGTTCTTTGAAGCCAAGTAATGGTGGTCGGGAAACGCTCGTAACAAATTTCAACAACAGTCGACGCTGTTTGTCGGTTAAATCACAGCTAACAATATGCCAGAAATTTTTTATCACGTCATCTGTATCTTTGTAACCTCCTCCATAGACAGTATTAGATTTTAAGTCGTGAACGTCAACGGGAACCTGAGCTCCAGATATAAGAACATTTAGTTCGTGTTCATCAAACATTCTCAACCAGGCTAATGGTATTATATCATCCAAACCCTGGCGAAAAGCTGTACACTGCTCTTTTATTTGTCTATTGAGCCTATAATCAGCCACAAGATGCATGTATTTAATTCGATTTGCATTCGTCACAGGTTCATCTTTTCCACCTTTCTCAAGTTCAACTACTTCCATCTGACCTGGTAAACTTGTATTTGAAATAGTCATATCTAGTCCGAGTTCTGAAACATCTCCGTCATATTGTTTGAAAGCCATAAGGTTTCTAAAACATAAAAGAAATATTAAAAGCATAAGTTAAAAAATATTGATTAGTCAAACTAACTTGTATAACTCTGGATCAAGGGAGGCAAGATGGTTAATATCTAAATCTGTTGTCCTGCCAAGAATTTTTGCCAAAAAAAAGTGAGCAATAGGTAAATCAACAAGCATATCTTCATACAGAGCTTTACCAAGGGCTCTGCCCACGAAGAAAAAATGAGCTGTAAAATCATCGAACAACGATTTACTGACGGGATTAGGGCATATAAGTCCGTCGGGAGTTGAAGTAAATAATCCCCGATTCGGATCAAAAGCAGATTTTAAAAGTTCTGCCAAAAATTCTCGGAATAATCCACCACCGTCTATTCCAGCCTCGTCCAAACCTGCTGCGTTTATTAATTGTACAGCGACTCTTGGCTTCAAACTTGGACAATTTTTTGCATTTAAGTTCTCAAAAGCATCCTCATATAAATAATTTCGTCTTATTCTCAATCGAAGAGCATTTGCTGAAGCATGAAGAGGTAAATCAAATGCTTTTTGACGTTTCTCTGTTCCAATAAGTCGCCTGAATATTCGTACTCGTTCCTCAAATGGTATAACAAAAGGTAACTGAGTTAGAATTGTAATAGATCGTATTTGGTTGGATGACATATATAATTGTTCATCTTCTTGTCTTCTTTCCAAAATACTTAATGCGCCAAATGGTCGAGCTGCAAACACATGTTCATGGTCATCATAAACGGATTGTTGAATATAATCGGCTGTGACTCTAGCTCTGTGCGGTGCCAGCCAGTGATCCTCAGGGCAAAAACGCTTCCTAGAGTCTCTTGCGTGCAAGTGCTGCGAGAGAGCGGACACTGAATGAAATAGCCTGGACCAGAAGAATTTTCGCCTCTCCAGTTCTTGTTCTGTTATATAATTTTCTTGGTTACACAAAGTTTTCTTTTGTTTTCCAGTAATTATTCTCGGTTTAACATCTGGATACGCCAGATCAACAACTCCAATACTAACATCACGTAAGGAGGCCACCATTGATACTAGTTCTTGAGTTGAAAATGGCATTATTTTCTCTATAAAAGTGTTTTATAAAAAAAGAATGAATCAGATTGTTTTACAATAAATATAATATATTACCATCTCCTTTGAAAAATTCTGAATCATGTAAAGAGATCAAGTAATGAGAGAATAATGAACAGAAGAGACTAAAGAGAGGTACTATTTTTCCAATATGTTCATCTGTAAGATTATTACTAGCTGTGCTTAACAATTTAATAAGAGAATTATTTGTCCTGCAAAATAAAAATGTTGTTAAATAGACTCTTTCTAAACAATAACTAGTCAATAGTACAAACCCGAAAGCTCCTTTTATCGAAAATGTCTGACATACGTTCCATAGCTTTCTCAAAAAACCAACGTTGAAAGCTAACGTATATAATAGCTTTGATTTATGAACAGAGTCTGGCCTGATTATTTAAAATAATATTGCTTGTAGTACATACAAACTCTAAATAAACGATAGCGAATTATACCTTCTATTTGAGTTTAGTAGAGCATCACAAATACAAGAAATGGCAAGTATAACTTCATCATCGTTTGAATGAGAAACAGTGCATATTACTTGAACATTCTCATCACTGTTCAAAATACTAGCGCATTCACTTGTTTTTGCTGATTCTTCTGTCTGAATTATTAATAAACAAATTGAGAATATTATTTAAGGATTAAACATTAAAAACTTCAAAATACAGACTTCCATATCAGTATCAGAATCTGAATCGTCATTAAAACCAGTCATTTGCGTTGTAGTATAATCTATATTAAGCATTGATTTTACCAGATAATGTAAAATCTTTACATAACTTCGCTTCTCTTCCAGAGAGAGTTGACCTAAAAATATCACATCATTATATACATATTTCCTGTTGAAAGATTGTCTACATTACCTAATGTTGCTGATGTTAACGTCAAAAAATTATGAAGGATAGAAGATGATGTAAAGTTAAATAAATGATGATTATCATATAACAAGTCATTAAATGAGTAAATGAAAGATGAATAGTTCATGTTTTGATCAGTTGCTAAAGCTAGTAGAATGAAATTTTCAACTTGAGGAGAGGAGTCACAGTTTAAGAAGGTTAATGAAAAGTTTCGACAAACAGAACTCCTAAAAAAAACATTCAAATAGTACAATTCAGTATAACGATGAAAATATTTGCCAACCTTATTTGAACTTTCTCTGAATTCAAGAGTGCTAAACCTTTTTTTATCATATCTAGAATAGCAGACGCTATTTCTGTAGGAGGTTTTTTTGTTTTCTCGATAAAATCCGGTATTTTATTTACCGCGATTTTAAGAACAGATTGAAAATATTCTGAAAAAAAAAATTAATAGAAAATTTATTATTTACTGATCAAATAATTACAGTAAAGTATTAATTTAATACCTTTGTTTATTAAATATTCCATAATTTCATAAAAATATTCTATTTTTGTGATTTTGTCATTGGAACTTTGATATAAACGATAATCGCAAAAAATTTCAAGCATTCTCATTGGTATCGATATTGGTTCAGTTGTGCCAGAAATCTCAGATACGCATCTAATTGTAAAGAAATTCCAAATTATGTTACAATAACATTATAACTGAATTTTACCTACCTCACACACAAAACTAAACATTTTTTCATAACAAAACAAATTTTGTCATCATTTTGCATTAGTTTTGCAACTTCACCTCTGTGCTGTTGCAGATATTGGCATAGACCAGTTCTTGAATTTAGGCGGTCTCGATCTTTGTTCTTATCATAAAAAAATACAAGCCTTCGCAACAGGTTCAATGGGTGTTGAATTTCAGGATCATTCTTTGTTGTGATCAACAGATTAATATCCTTATCAAATTCAGTGCGCATTTCATTTTTCTATAAATAAAAAATTATTAAATGGTCATTCAATATTGCACTGTAATAACAATAACTTACGAGTCGACTCCTTACGCACCATGAGCGGTAACTTGCCTGAATGATCGTCGCAGCGAGATTTTTCTTTCTTAATTGCTATATATCATTTTATTAATTAAAACTGTTATGTACAAATAAGAAGCTACCTCTCTTTTCTGCCTTTCTTCCTGTGTTTTTCGTAATAAACTATCTCTATCCAGCTGAATGAAAGTGAATTTTCATAAGCATGAAATGACTAAGCATAAACATTATTATTTAACAAGAAACCTTTAAACTAGCTCCTCCTAAAGATTGTTCAGGTTTTCTAACGAAATCTCCTTCAAAGCCGAACATTATTTGTCTCTTTGTTACAAAATTAAAGGATTCAGAGCGCGATATTATCCATTTCGTTTTGGACGATGTAAATAAATAAATGCAGGACTATTTTCGTTTTGAAGATTTAACGACAGTAGTGACATCTATTGATAGAATTAAAACAAGTCTTCCACCTTGTATTTTTCACGTTGTAAACGGTTTATACGAACTAATAGTTCATGATAATGAAAAAAAAAATAACTAAACACAAAAATGACATATGGCTATCAGTTACTGTGGCTCAAGAGGAAAACTAAGCCGACTAATAACATCTCTAACAGTGGCAATTAAACTCTCATTTTCTTCAGGAGCATCCAAAATTAAAGAATGCAGTTTAGCCATAAACATGTCAACGTTATCCATTGTTAACGTTTCATTAAATCCTGGTAATACAACAGATGATAAATTAGTTGCAAGAGTCAGCTTTAAGGCATTTAAGTGTTGTTGTAAAGCGTTATTCGATGCTCTGGCTTGATCAGTTTCAGTTTTAAGACGTTCAACGTCAGATTGAAGGTTTTCGGAATGAGTTTGAAGAACTGATACTTGCTCTTCCATTTCCGTGTTAAGTCTGTTAAAAAGATAAAAATAACAAAATTAATATAATGTATACGTACAATTATTAAAAGAAAAATATGTAATTAAACTTCTATGGCTAGAAACTTATTTAAATATTTACTAGAATAACTAATACTACTATTTTAATAAGAAAAAGGAAATTTATTTACTTTCTCAATTGTCGAACTTCCCCTTCTCGAGTTTTGTTTAAATCTAAAAATTCTTCTGTAAAAATAGGAACATCTAAAACAGCCCTGTTGTCAGGTTCTTTTGAATTTTTTGAATCCCCTTGAGAGTTATTTGATTTATCTGTTATTAAAATTAAATACATTAGGATAGGTAGTGTAATAGGATGATTATATTAGGTATAATTAAGTATAGATATTTATTTTCAGTTATTTTTACCTGATTTCTGCATTTCCAAAAATTTTTTGTAAGCATCCGTTTTTTGATATTCTGTCCACTCTTTTTGAAAACGTTCTTTATCTTTTATAGCTTCGTCTAAATACATTTGCTTTTGATCCTTATCCAACTTGGTCCATTCGGCTCCCAATAACTTTGTAACTTCTGTGAAACTCAAATTTGGATTTTCTTGCCTGACTTGTTCCCTGCGTTCGTTTAGAAACCGTACATAGCCATTTAAGGGTTGTTTTGGCGCGTTTGTATCCCGCATTGCCTTCCTTCTCTTTTTTCCTTTAGGCCAACCACCCTTTCGCTTGTCTGAGATCAAAGGATTGTCATCATTGTTTTGTTGAGTAGAATCAGCATTCATTTCGACGCTACTGTTTGACTGTTGAAGGGAGCTTTAAGGAGCGAAATAAAAGAACATTAACGAAAATGAGAATTTAACGGATTTTTATCAAATGTTACTTAATCTGAAGATTCAATTGCCAACAGACATATGCATCGTATAGATAGACATTTAAATAAGATATTATTATTACTCTAAAACATTAAAATGCCTTACTTGCTCATATTTATAATTCTATATCAACAAACACAATGGCGGAAATATTACTTCCGATAGATGGCGCTGATGATACATGTAGTAAATTTTTGTTATACCCTGGAACGTCTCCTTATTGGTGAATTACCTTTCTCTCATCAATATTCATTTAGTTACTATTAATTTACTATACATCGTAAACTTCTTATTAATTACAACTGATAATTTACCCTTTTACTAATTTTCTATTTTGTTAAGTACTCTAATGAAGTGCCCTATTGAACTTTGACACATTTAACATGCCTATTATGCAACATATACTCTAGTTGTTGAGTTAATTTTGGTTCAAAGAACTTACTATTCTCGGATCCAACAGAAAAATCGTAAAAAAAACTCAGCCTTTATGAAATAGAAGTAATCAACAATGAAAAAGATCAATTAAGCAACTTTGTTGTAAATAAAATTGTTATGGAAAATGAAACCTTCAATAAGTCACTTACTTTTTCTCATAGAAAATCGAATTTCTCCGTCTCTCTTAAACTTTACAGTGAAGAAGCATAAACTATATCAAAATCTTATTATTAAATCTGTTATTTAGGCTTTTACCGCTGTCGACTGCTCTTAGTGTTATATCGAAAAAAATAACCAACTATCGATAATGAATGATTAATAAAATATTATATCCTGACAGATTATAAATAAGTTTTCATTGGACGTTTGAAAATATTTCATTGATCCGATATTAAGTCATATTTATGTATGATAATAGCCAAATAAACTGTTTGTTTAACAGTTTCGCATATATTTTGAAGAGTACTTGCATTTTTTTAGAATTTCTTTTAAAGATTTCATAGATTATTACTTTTCAAAGAAGTGTTTAATATAAAATAAATGTTTTATTAAATACTTAATTTAATTTGATGACAATATAAATTCTCTAAAATATATAGAAAGGTAAAGGCACAATATAATCGAAACAAATATATCGTCCAACATGCCAAAGATGCCAAAGATAGCTTCAGGAAATAGATCTAATGGACTTAAAAAATAAAACACTGCAATGCAGCATATCATTACCACTCTTATTCGAAATGCCCAATTTAAGCCTTCTAAAGACACAAATGTGAAAAATAAATGTCTCAAAAGAGCAGGGGTGTCTCTTATATATTCCATTATCTAATGAGAAAAATGTTCATATCTCATAAAAAATTTAATAAATTTAACATTAATACATACAGATCGTGGTTGACCTGAAAATCTCCTATTGTAGTCTCTTATAGATGCTAACAATCGTTCTTTCTCTACTTCCGTTAAATTATTGGCTGTTCGGTGATTGCGAAACCCTAATAATATAGTCACCTAAAAGCAGTAAACTTTACAATTCGCAATTGTAGTGTATAAATAAGAATGCTTACCCTTTGTCTACAAACTGGACATAAAATACAGCTTGTTGTCCATCTTCCTAATCGCCAATAAGACACAATACAAGATGAGCAAAAAATATGACCGCAATTGGTTTCAATAGGTATATTAAGAGGGCTTAAACATATTGGGCAATCAGAGTTTTCATTTAATCTTTCTGGATTTGCTGCAGTTTCCAAATGATTATCACCGAGATTTTCTCGAACTCTTTGTACATCTTCTTCGTTCTCTGGGTTTATCATAAATCGCCTTCGCGAACTGTACATATTTTATAGGTATTTAATAAAACTTATTTTAGTGTTTCAGTCATACCCACAGGTAGTATTTTTTAATTATCAAGAGAGAGGTTATTATAATTGTAGCACTTGCTATAAAAACTGTTACAAGGTCATCACCAAATCCATCAACAATGGAACTGTTACTTTCTATTCCAGTCATCTCTAAATTAATTTAGAAATTGCTTCAATGGCCATATCAAATTTTATTTCAACAGAACTTATGGTTTCCTGATCCAACCCTCTACCGTGAACGATAAAACGGAGAGGAGTGTCAAGCTCATAATTATTTTCGTATTCGAAAAAAAATAATTTCTGTAATTTACTTGCATTGAGATTCTAGCCAAATTATAATATTTATATTGATAATATTTTAAAATATTACGTATTAGTTCTCCGAGATTAATCTGCAGAGTAAAGTTGCTCAGTTACAAAATCATCAAAAAATCACTACCTGTTAGCCGAAAGCTTGTAGTAGACATCTATTTCAATTTCTAAGTTTTGAAAAGCAATTAAATGTATTCAAGTGGAATTAGAAACTTCATTTTCAGGAGATTTTTTGCATCAACGTCAGCTCGTCTAAACCAGACAGATTTGATACCGGTGAAACAAGGGGAATTTTCCCCCAAAAAGGTTGTTGTATTAAGGAAATTAACTCGCTATGAGTATGAGCAAACCTACTGGAATACCAAGAATGATGATAAACTAAAACCAATCGTAAGTAGAGTTTTTTTAATTTTCCTTGATATCAATCTTATCTTTCATATTTTGAAATTAATAATAAAATGATTATGAAACAGCTTAAAGCCTTGGGATCGAATTTTGATGGTCTAGTTCAACGTCACGATGAGTATTGTACAGCTCTCGATAAAATTCTGCAAACTTTCAAGTAATAATGAAACTTCATTGTTTTTAATTAATTTTCCATGAATTGTATTAAAATATATATTTGTATGCTTTTGATGACTTGCGCTATTACAGGATTCCTTGATGTGGCACGAAATTAGGTCACTTTTGCATTTGTTTGTATATTTAGTGATTTTACTATTAAGCCAAAATTTGTAATAAAGACCTAAAGTAACTGAACAAAGTATATATTAGCAAAACTGGCATCCTCACTCCTTTCATTTATTTTTTTCAGAGACTATCGTATAGATGCTCAAGTTGTAGATCGTTCCGAGTACGACGAAAATCTTCTTAAAGGGGTTGATGCAGTCTTTTCTGCAGGAGGAGACGGAACTTTCCTTCTAGCCGCTTCCAAGATATTTAATCAAAATATACCCTTGATTGGAATAACGACGGACCCATTAAGGTTGTATCACTATTGTGTATTATCTAAAATAACCAATCTATTGTTGTAGATCGGAAGGATATTTATGCATACCAAAGTCATTATCCAGACAATTTGACAAGGCCCTTGGCTTTCTATTGTCTTCTAAGTTTAAGTAAGTTTGACAAAATTTGATCATTTAATATATTTATGTAAATTATACTGTATAAATTTATATACTATATATTCTGTATATATATATGGCACTTTTTATATCTTTTAGATGGATGTTTAGAAATAGAATCCGTTTGACAATGTCTGGGCGATATGGTTCAATCAGACAACAAAATTTGCATGATCAACATCTGCAATCCCCTGAAAACCGGTTCTTGTATGTAAATTAACTGTTTAAATAGTTGGCAATCATTTCAAAATTTATGCATGCTGCAGAGAACATGTACAAGAAAATGAACTACATTCTTGGCCAAACGAAAATTTGCAGCAACTGCCCCCCACTTGCTTACCTATAAGAGCGCTAAATGAAGTCTTTATAGGAGAGACTCTATCTTCAAGGTAACAATTAACTATTCATGTTCTAAATGATAAAATAATATTATTTTAGGGTTTCTTTTTACGAAATGTCTGTGAATGATGAAACTCCTCAAAAGCAAAAGAGTTCCGGAATAACCATCTGCACTGGAACAGGGTCTAGCTCTTGGTACTTTAATATCAATCATTTAAGTCGAAACTCGGTTGAAAACTTGTTAAAAATTGGTAAGTTAGCTGGTAAGTTGTTGTCGCTTTATTAAATAAATTATCTTTGTGTTTTAGTAAAAGAAGAAAATCCAAAGTGTTCAATAAATACGAATGATGAATTATTGATAAGGAAGATAGCAAGAAAATTCAACCAGTCACTAATATTTAGTGCTTGGGAAAATAAAATGGCTTATACTGTTAGAGATCCGGTTCTAAATGGCATCTTTCAAGTGTCAAACCCTAAAGGATTCTGTCAAAAGTATTAAAAAAATTTTTAAAGAATATTGGCCTAACGCATTCTTTTCATTTCAGAATGAGAGTTAAGTCTAGGATGTGGGATGCTTGTGTAGTAATCGACGGTGGCGTTTCATACTCTTTTAACGAGGGAGCCATTGTCGAGATGTCTATGCTAAAAGAAGACGCTCTCAAGACTGTTTCATTCCTATGATTCTTCCAAAGATTTATACAAGTCTATTAATGCTAATGATAAGGGATATTTAAATAAGAAATTCAACTTTACTGTTTTTATCCTGTTAGAATCGATTTGCAGAAATTAAAATTTTATTCAAGTGAACATCCCAAACCTTAGAATAAAAATTTTTACCCTAAAAAATTTGATGATTTACACTGTCAAATGAATCTGTTTTATGATCCGCTGGATTTGCTCTTGCTTCATAAGTTGTGATTGTCACGCCGTGTCGTTTCATCTGAAACATTGATGAAAAGTTATAGTAAACAATATATTTAATTGCATTAAACCTCTGTAAAATCTCCTCGTAAGCCTATGTAATAGATTTTGGTCGTATCAGCTCCAAAGTTTGAAGGGAAGTGTATTGAAAGAGATTCAATAGATCCGAATCGTGCTACCCTTTAAAAAGAGAAAAGTTAATGAAAATTAGCAATATTAAAGTGAAAACTAGTAAAATATTTACTTTGTTGAATATTCCAAAATTCCAGAATGATCTGGTTGCATATCAAACTCTTCATCAGCTTGTCCTCTAACATCATCGAATGTCATTTGAGGTCGATTTTTAAACCTATAATTGCACTATTGTACTATCAGTAAAAAACATAATATAAGATCTTACAATCTCATCTTATTTGGATGATAATCATCTTCGCCTCCAACAACTATTATTCCTTTCAGTTTGACTATACCTGCAAAGCTATAGGACAAAGAGCGTGAAAACCGGTAGCAAAATAATATAATACTAACGGTATATTAAACAAAAGCTCTTCGTCCAAGTCACTTTCAACAAGCTATTCATAACGTAGACCATTAGAGAAGTAATTTTATTATTTAGTATAAAAATATAAAATTTACCAAGTCAGTGTTCAGCCTCTCTTCCCAGGGTTTGAAAACATTTTTACCAGACCCGGCAACTGACTCGTTCAAACAAGTTACTCTCTCCTTATCGATTTTTAAATATAAACTAAATTGCGCACCTTTATCTGAATCAGATATATCGTGGTGAGCGTGAGAGTGACCACAAGAATCACCGCCAGACATTATTGCGGATGAGTGTTTTTTACCAATAAGAAATGATACCAGTTTTTCCTAAATTTAATAACAAAGTAGTCCTACATAAAAAAGTTGCAAGCTTATCAGGATATTGTGTACTTTTGGTAAAGTGTATTGCAAATTTCATATCATTAAAAAAAAAAGTAACAGATATAACGTTTAAAATTTCATCTAAATCGGTTAAATTAAAAAAAAACAAGAGACTCGTTAACAACGCCTAGGTTTTCCAAATTGTTGATCTCATATAACATATTATAAAGAAGTTAACGACTCATACCCATGTGTAATAATTTTCTAACTGGCTTGGGACCATTCCATATTCCCCTTTAAGAGAAAATTAATAATGCATTAGTTATATATCTATCTTTTATTGTAAATGCATACTTAAGTAGCATTCTCCAATACATTGTCGGCATCATGTAAGCCTTCATCACGAACATTGAGTACCTTTCTTTAGCTTGATTGAACGGGAAAGTTTCCAGTGGTTCACCATCGAAATCAAACTCAGCTAAGACACATTTATTATGTGCAGTTACAAGAGGACAGGAAGTGTAACCATCATATATTGCAGTAGGTTTTGAACCATTCATAACACTACTTAAATTACTTGATAAAATTCCAGCTTGGGCTGCAGCAGCAGCAGCAGTCTTTGAGGATGGTAAATTACAGTTGTCACCAATTCCGAAGACATTAGAATACTTCGTGTGCTATGTGCATAATTAATAGATTAGTCGATTAACTAAAAAGAAGTAATTATCGTAAAGTCAGTTTTCGTTACCTGTAAAGTAGTTTTGTCTACAGTAACATAGCCTGTTTCATCAACTAAAGGAGAATTTTTAACGGCATCAACTGCGGACATTGGTGGAACAGCGTGAAGAAAAGAATACTGAAAAAGAATTAAAGAACAATTGATTATTTTCCGCTTTATTATCTGATTCAGTATTTTTTATGAATTACTGATTAGTATCTATATGTAGTGAACAAAATATTCAAATACTTACCTCATAAACTGATTCTTCTCCTGTATCCAGATTTACAAACGTTGCTTCCCTTTTCTTGTGATTAACTTCGGTAAGATTAGTTCGGAAATTACAAGTTAAATTTCTGTTTAAGTAACACATTAGGATAATCTTATTGTAAAGTGACAAGTTAATATAAAAAAGACATATACACTTACTTTCTTTTAACTATAGGCAAAAGGGCTTCGGCGTATTTTTTCACACCAAATATTCCACCAAGTGAACTATTGAAAACAACATTAGCCTTATCTCTCTTCCCGGCCTGTAATAAAATAATAAAGTATTAATGTATGGAGAATTTCATTATTAAATGCACAAATCTAACATTTCTCAGGTACTCATCTGCTAAATACATGATTTTCTGTGGCGCTCCTGCACATTTTATTGGTGTCGCTGGCAAAGTGAAAATAACATTTCCCTCTTGAAAGGCCTGTAAAGCCGGAAAAGTCTTTGTGACCGTTTTAGGAGAATAGTTTGAACAGACAGCTGGATCTTCAGCCAAAGCTTCTTCCAATCCTTTAATCTAAAATACAGATATCAATTACCAGACGTTTACTATGTGTTTCTTTATTCTATTTATACCTGATTAAAGTTCAACTGTAGACCTGTAGCTGTTATGAGATATTCATAGGTTATAGTATCACCGCTTTCAGTTGTCACTTGATTGTTATCCGGGTCAAATTTCGAAACCCTTTCCTTTATCCAGTCAACTTTATTGGGGAGAAGCTCTGATCTATTAAGACTAGTCTGATCAAATCTTTTAATTCCACCTCCGACCAAAGTAAACATTGGTTGGTAATAGTGTACCTAAAAATATTCTTTATGTAATCATACTCTTTAATAAGAAAAAAAATCAAAGGCCTGGAAAACTAGTCTAGACAGGGAAGCTGGTTTCTGATTGCAGCCATTATACGTACATCTGTTGGTTCAATAACGGCAACAGCTCCTCTTCCAAGCTTTCTTGCAAATTTATTTGCAGTAGCAGTTCCCCCAGTTCCAGATCCGACAATTACCAGTTTGTAATTTTTATTTGCAGCATTTATGCTGGACGTTGCAAATTGACGATGTTTCGAAATTGAGGTACAAACAATTCTCTTCATGTTGTAAAATTTGTTAAAAATGGAATTTAAAACCAATGGTGTGAGTTGAATCTACCAAGAGAATGCATGCAATGGGTGAGAATACGTAGTATTCTATCGACCTTAACCTTCAAGATGGTAAATCGTATTCTGATTGGACAATATTTGTCTTTTTTAAACTATGAATATTCATTAAACGTGACCGGACGTTCAGTGACGTTTCTGAAAAAAAATTATGTATCAAAAGTAATTTATCCTAGATGAGTAAATTAAAGATTTTTGTTTTTCCCAATCGATTAATTCGGATGAAAATTGCAAAATGGCATTGCAGACAAAATAAGCCTAAGCGGTTAAAACAAATAATTGGTAGTTCAATGACCTATCGCAGGATTTGAGAGCATGTTCGACCTTTGAAATTTGAAAATTATCCTAATTTAACATTAGCTAGGTGGTGCATGTTTATGACATCATATTAATCACTTTACGCCTGATAAAGCATAAAAGCAGACGTTCTGATGAAAGTAGTTAGCTAATGGTCACTATTTTTAAGATGCTAGCGGTCAAGCAGATCAAGCATATTATATTTTGATAAAACTTCAATATTTTGCAAATGTTTAATAATAAATCTAAACTCTTTTTTAAAACAGCACCCAGTTAGTAAGCATCAGTTCATTAAAAAAAGCTTGAATACATATATTATAAACATAGCTTAACATTCATTCTTTATTGAATACAATAAGTTAATGTAGCATTAAATCACTTAAGGGATAATGAAAAGATAATATCTTAGTGACTAATAATTGACACACATGATTATTTGTTAAGCATATAGAACATTAAATAAAATACTTGCCATAAATTTATAATAATTGCCACAAACAGCATCTTACTTTCATTTTAAGTTGTCTAGAAAACTACTTATAACAAGAGGACTACTACCAAGTGTAATTCACTAGTTTGTAAATGTTGATAAACATTATGAAAGACGTTTACTGCGAACTCGTCTATATGATTTCTTTTTGATTTTGGTTTTACTTTGAAGTTAAAAAAAATCCAGTGTTTTGCTAAATGTAAACAATACCGTAATAAGCACTACTAATAGGATGTGCACTATTTGATATACTAACTAAATAATTACTTATTACAATACTATTAACAAATGAAATGTTGAAAATTAAAAAGTTTATTATTTAATAATCGATAATTTAAGCAGTATAATACAATATTTAAACCGATCTACGCAATATATTATAATACATACAATACATTTAAAAAATCTGCCGACAGACGGCGGGAAGGCCTTTGAACTAGATGAGTTCATTGCACTTAAAAAACAGAAAATAAAGCCGTATTGCGCTACTTTCATCACCAATTATAGGCAATACTGAACGGCCTATGTATTTAAATTAATGGAAATCGAAACAGCCCCAATAGTATTTGTGAGCAAAAGCTCAGTGGGTAAGTTTTCTTTGGATTACTTTCTAGAGTTTCTTTATCAGTATACTATACGCCATTTAATAATCGATGTCTTTATTTATTTCTTTTATTTGTTAACTTTCAAGGTCAACAGTCTACTAAAAATAATAATTCGGTAATAACTGAAGAAGATTTCTTAGATGAGACAAGATTTGAAAAGAGAGATATTCGAATAGCTAGTGATCCTGTTGGATATGGATTTGTTATTCGTGGTGACGGACCATGCTATGTCAAGGTCGTTGATCCCACTGGGCCGGCTGCTTCTGCCGGTTTAAAGGAGGGACACTACATATACGCCGTAAATTATAAACCAGTGGTAAAAATGCATCATAAAAAGTTGGCTCACGTTATTTTAGCCAGCAACGGTTATGTGAGGCTGACGGTCTATGCTAAACGAGAAGCTGATAGCTGAATATCTTTGATATCGCTAATTCTTTGACTGTTTTGTTTATTATGCAAAAAGGTGGATATTTTCTAACGATGATTGCTTTAATATATCAGTTTTTTATTGAGTTTTTTTTTTATTTCATAAATGATTTTCAGTCTTTTATAAGATACTTGAAATTTATCTTGTTATTTAATAAATTTTAAATATATTCACTTGTTATAACCTATTGTCTCTATAGTAATATTACACATTTCGAACAATATGTGTAACTCTAAGCTATTGTTTCGATTTTTCAATCTGGCGCGCCAAATCAACCAATGTTTGTTTATTTGTAAAACAAAACTACCAAAAACCGGTAGGCTTTGAGAGTGTTTTACTTGAAAATATTTAGAAGTCAAGGTTAAATTAATTGCACATTTTCGCCAGAATATCTGTTGTTGCTTAAGCTGTGATCAAAAGTATGTCAAGGCCCGGTCTATTTAGGCAAACTGTTAATAGCATTCTGAGAAGCTTTAAGATTGCCAATCGGAAAGAAATTTTGATTGGCTCTGATGAGTTTGGCAATAAATATTTCGAAAAACCCACCAGTGGTGATGCTCAATTTAAGAGGGTTCGAAGGGTCGAAACATTCGATAAGGATCAATGGAGCGTTCCAAAAGTTCCAACAGAATGGATGGCCTGGTTGCAAAATAAAAGAGAAAGTGCCCCATCAGATGAGGTACCTTACATAATCATCTCTTAGTTCTATACTATAATAATGAAAGTTGTTGCCTAGGAAATATTAAAAAATCAAATAGAATTAGCTAAGAGACTTAAGAGATCAGAAAATCTTCAAACAATGCGTGGAGAGGTGCATATATCTCAAAATAAAAATGTATTACATTATTAATATTAAATTTGTATTTATAGTCAATCCATCCAGATAGTCTTACAATGACAGGTAAAAACAAAAGTATTCACACGTTCAACATATGAAATTTAAGTTTCTAACACCTGTTTCAACTATTAAAACAGAAAACCAAGGAGGTTTCCCTCATAGAGAAGAATATGAGATTAATCCTGGTTCATCAAGGACTGAAAAAACATGAAGGGATAATAAATAATATCTAAGCTTTAATAAACATAACTATTATATTTTTTATTATACAATATTATATTTAATAATTTGTTTTTAAGTATAATTACTCAAATTAAACTAATCTAAATCTCTTTGGTACGGACTGCTAAACCTATTTCTGTCAATTAACGGAGATTTTCCTTAAATCTCCCCTGTCAGCGTCAATTGATAAAATCTTTAGATGATAGATCAGATTATAAGCCTGAATTAGGATATTTTATTAAAAGACGATGTCAAGAGTGATTCGGAGCTATTCTGAAGCTTAAAGAAAACAGATTTTAACTAAGAAACAGCTTAAGATTCTTTATGCATTGATAGGCAGAGATTTACTTTGTTAAATAAATGGTACTTATATTCGTTATAATAATTAACGCAAATTTATATTAAACTTTAACCGTTTATATTTGGGAAGAGGCTGGTTAACTGCTTGGTGGTTTATCATAAAAGGACGAATATAAAGTATTAACAATAATCATTGTTTCCATTATCAGAGTGCAAATTGGTATCATAAACTACTAAACCGGAATTTTAAATCACTTCTATTAAAGGAATTCTTACAATAAATTGCTATAATTGTCATATTCGATTAAGGGTCATAATGAAATCTAGATATCAGTGGATTGTGGAGAAGAAGAGCAAAAAGAGGGAACGCACTTTCTCTATTCTGGCGATTAATAATTATCTATTGTGATATATTAAATGCTTGTTGATTGTTAATGGTAGTAATAACTAATTTTTAAAATTATTTTTTATATGAAATATTAAAATAGATAAGGTGGAATTGACTTCCAAACACGCTTATTCTGTCCTTTTTTCACCTATTACATTGTACTCTCTTCTTTAAACATAGGTTAAAATAATATGTAACACATTTTAATGTGATTTCTACTACGTGGGTACTGTCTTACTTTTTTTTCAATAGTATTAAAACTACAATACAAACTACTACAAGTGTTTTCAATATTTATTATTTAAAGAGTTTGAGAACTACCTAAACTGTATCATGTTATTTTTAAATTGTAATTGAATATAAGTAGTTTTATACGATTGGTTTTTGAATAAGTGCAATTGGTCTTATTATAACTGATGTTGTGTGATAGTTTATCTTAAATCTGTCTTAATTGATTGCAAGTGTTTGTCAAAATAAATTTCAAGAATAAAATATTAATTAACAGGATTTCCGTCACTTTTCATTATTTAATTCAATTAAAGGAACATTGAAAACTTAATTATTTCCACAATTAAAGTAAAAAGAAATATGGTTCAATTTGTTTAGCTAAATTAAATACAATAAATAAGTGAATTGTCGTTTTTCATTAATAATTTACAAACAATCATTTACTTTATTTTTCATTAAAGATAAGCAAAGTGTTATTAATTAGCTAAGAAATTTATCTTGTTCTATGTTGTTCATTAGCATAAATTTTATAACAAAAAAATGTCAAAAATTGATATTCGTTGTTCACATATGGCTATGTTGGCAAAAACGAGATAAGCGTATCCCACAGAGTTCCAATATTACAAACAGTTAAAAGAATAAAACAAATACTGTTTGTAAAATGGTCTGTGTTATCTTTGATGTAAGCAGATTAGCAGTCCCTCGCTGATTTTAGATTGACTATATCATTGAAATTATGATGCTTGAACATATCCTCTTTGCTTAAATTTCACTTAAACATGTACCTATCTTTGGTTTAAAATGAATGTTTATGAAGATTTTCTCAAGTTTCGCTTATCTTCACTTTCTTGTATTAAGAGATGGTTTTAATCGGATAGTGTTAGTGTAGAGTCTAGGCATTTAATTTAGACCTTTGGTACAAGAACAATGGTCAGGTTGGCTTACTTAAAGAAATAATTCGGGACGTATTGCATCTCTGAGACACAGTTTACGATATATTCTCTAGGAGAAAGAATGATTATTGACGACGCTCTCAAGATAGTTGGTGGATATCGAATTTATCATATCTCATTATTAATTATACTGACTCTTTTGGCCTTTGATTTTTATTCAAGACAAATTTTACTATTTGTCTTCGTAGGTAATATTAAATATTCCATATTAACAAATAGCTTTCTTTCAATTTTACATATAAATTACCGTTGTTTCAGGTTGGACGCCAGAATTTAAATGTAATTACAATACTAGCCAATATAACAGTTCAGAAGATTTGGATAGCTGTTTAAGACCTTCGATAAACAACACTGGAAATGGTGTTGAATGTGACAATGGATTTCAATATTTTTCGGAAGGATATACTTCTACTACAATCGAGGTACATAATATTTTAGGAAAACAGAGTCAATCTTAACTATTAACATACTTTATCTCAGTGGAATTTAGTTTGTTCAAGAAAGATGCTCAAAGTAATTAGTCAAATGGCCTATTCACTTGGTATACTTTTTTCGTCTTTAGTTGGAAACACTTTGACTGACAAATTTGGAAGACGGTTTATGTGTTGGATAAGTCATGTATTTGGAGTTTCTTTAGGAATTGCTATAAGCTTTTCTCCTAATTACGAAACTTTCGTCGTCTTAAGATTCTTTATAGCAGTGGCTGCTTCCGTAAGATTAACTTTGATAAGTTCCTTAGAAAATTTTTTATTAAAAATTAATCATATCCCCTAGAATATCATAAACTCCTCCACCACGTTATTAATAGAACTATTCGATTCCGAAAGAAGAGGGCTAGTTGGTACAATATATCAGTTTGGTTGGATAATAGGGATGGGCTTTCTTGGTATCACGGCTTACTTAATAAAGGATTGGAGAGAGTTAGCATTAGTAACATCAATTAGCCCAGTCATCTGGATTATAGTTTTATGGAAACTACCTGAATCTCCAATATGGCTAGTAGCTAATAATAGAATTAAAGAGGCTCAAGAGTTTTTAAAGAAAGCGGCAAAGCTAAATAGAGTTAAAATTTTGGATGAAAACGTCTTTAAAATTGAAAGTAAAAGAATCTCTAAAATACCCGATTCGTCTTCAATCAAATTAGAATTTGAAAATTTTAAAATAGAACTTGAAAATAATGGAATTGAAAATTCAGCAACTACAAAATATTCCATGATAGATCTCTTCAGAGATAAATATTTACTCCGACACTTGGCCATTATGGCACTGCTATGGTTTACGAACAATACTGTATACTATAGTCTAATGTACAGTACACCCAGTTTGGATGGGAATAGATTTGTTAACTATACTTTCAGCACCTTTGTTGAAATTCCAGCATATTCTGTTGCTACTCTTGCTGTCGTAAAGTAAGAAAAATACTATCAATTCTCTAGCCTAATTATTTTATTTTATCTATTAAACATTACAGAATAGGGCGACGTATTCCAACCTTTATTATTGTCATGTTGACATCTGTTAGCCTATTATTCGTATCCATCTTACCCTTAATTTTGTCTGAAGATCCATATTTAAGAAACAAGCTCGTTTTATTGTTCTCTCTTTTGGGAAAGTTTGGCAGCAGTGCATCGTTTTCAACGGTAGTGATCTATACCAATGAACTCTTTCCAACTAACCTAAGGTTATTATCAACTTTATTGATAAAATGTAAATGTTTCACTAGCTATCTTTTCTGCTAAAATAATTTCTAGGTCAACTGCACAAGGTGTTGCAAACACAGTCGGTCAAATAGGAGGAATGATTGCTCCCATATGTGCTGAATTTGTAAGTGTTTTATATTTTTAACTATTAACTTTACATTAAATCTCTTCGGTTTTAGATTGCCGATAAAGAATTAAATCTTATTCCTCTACTCTTCTTCACGGTTTTAGCTTTTGTGGCTGCAATTTTTACATTATTATTACCGGAAACAAGGAACAAACCTCTACCTCAAACAACAAAGGATATTCGATTCTGGTATAAAAAGTAAAATTTTTATTAGTGTTATACTGAATTTCACGCACCAAATTGACCTAATTTAAGCAAGATATTTACTATATATAGAATAGAGTTTAGTTGTTTTTTCATATTTTTTACACTACTATTAATATTTGTTGAATTTTTAAAATATTTAGTTTTTGTGCGCCATCTGGCGTATTTCTCTTAAAGGCTTTAAGATTAAAAGTTCTAATAAACACGTCACTAAATACTAAATAAATAGTAATTCACAATAAGTTAAAAATGACAAACAATATAAATTCAAACAAAAGCAACAAGTATCTAATTCTTTCATTTTGTTTCTTATTTTCTTTTAAATAAATCTAATTATATATCCTCTTTTTGCTTATATTATAAAAAAGGTTGTTCTTAATACGATATATAGAATATAATTCAATTTATATTAACAATTAATTAGAAAAGCTACTTCGCTGTTGTCTTTTTCTTATTATTGACATACAATTATTTATTAATTAGATAATTAATTCTCGTAAATATGCTTTGTTTATAATTTTCTTTAAATAACTATATTACTTTTATGAAATAAAACGAAAAAATTGCTGTTAAAAGAAAGGAAACTGGAAAAAAAACTGGAAAAAACAATTTCTATACGTTAAATCGAGATGTCTCCTATTTTTACGTCATTCATTACATTATATTTGATGTAATGATTATCAAGTTTAGTTAAACAAGGAATACTATAATTATTCCTTTTATACTAATTACTTAGCTAAATAGTTGATCTCTTCTAGAAAGGGAAAGAAAACGTATTGGAAAATAGTTAATTTGTTGATAAATTCTGTAAATCAAAAAGGGGCATTCTTCCCTCAGGCATCGTTTAAAGAAGAATCAAGCAACCTTTTCGAGATACTAGGCTTACTCAGAGTGAATTATTACAAAATTTTCCTGCTTTAATTCACATGTTAGAGATGTTAGCTCCCCTTTTCATTCGATCTTATGAAAGTCATGCTAGCTTAACTTGTTTGAAAATATCGTTCTTCTAGCAAAGTAAAGTTTCTTCGATATCTTTCTACATGTAAAATGAACATGTTTATAGGTACAAAGAGCATATACTTCGTATTAAAATATTGCCGGTAGGAAAGAATAAAGTGGCGCCTATATTATCCCGAAAGCGTTATATATTGATTTGGTTGAAGACATTTGGGAGTTTCGGACGTTTAGCGTCGAGGAACGTTACGTCAAAACATTTGGGAAAAGCCTTCGGGAAAAAAACCGGATAGCAACTTGGACAATTTTTACTTCTTTTAGATTTATGGCTGTTTGACTGTTCCTTTTATTTTGCATATATTCTTTCTAAATTTGAGATAATTAACTTGGGTATTATTTTGACGTAGTAAGTTCCTAATATATTCTATAATTGTTCAACGGTAGTTCGAGATGCTATGGTATACTATGACTCATTCGCTGACTTGTAACAGTAGCACTGTGGTTTGATGTCTTTAGATTGGAATTGAATCGGAAAATCTTCGATTAGGGTCCTGCAATGAAATTAGATATTCGCAGGCTGTGTGAACGTTTATGGAATGTCTAGGAACGGAAATTATTCTTTCCGGCTTTTGATCTACTTATTAGAAACAGGGAAGCTCAAGTCATCTCTAACTACGCTGATTGTGACTAATGTACAATTGTCATTCCTGTTATATGCAGCAAGTTAACTTTGCTGAAGGCTACTAAATCACCCAAGAATTACCCAAAAGCCGTGATCGCCATCTACCGTCCTTATTCCGGGTCATTAAATTCGGGTGCCTCCAGGTGGCGGTTGGTCCTTAATGTAATATAGCGCAACCGTTTGAACGCCGTAAAAAATCACTTAGCAAACCCGAAAGGCGCCTGAAGCCAAATTTTTAATCAAACCCACGCACTAAATTGCTCGTTAAAAACATAATAGAAGATTTCTGTCATTCCATAATGAAGGCACTCAACCGCATGATGTAAATAGAAATAAAATTTGCCACTTCGCTCGCCTCACTTATTATTCCATTAATTTCTGCACGAAACGTCGCCGCGTCTTTTTTAAACGCCATTTAATATATGTTAACCATTTATAATTGGTCCTTTAATAAAACCTTATTAAGTTGAGAAAAAGGTCGGCAAATGCGCCATGCCAATTATAGAACTAATCAATTATTATTAGGGTTAATAAATAGTATATTTTATAAACTTGATAATGGAGATTTTCTTACAGAATATAAAACTAAACGAATCTACCCTTTTAACTAATACTATTATTATCAAAGATACAGCAAATCTATACGATCTATACTGCAAAATGTACTTTGTCTGAATACCCATATAGTTAGATGTACTTTAGCAAATAGTTACGTAATTGTATATCTTTAGTGATATATCTATAACTATATATTTTACTATATTGTTTATATAGTATATATTTCATTCAATTCACGTTTTTTCTCCCACTTGGCTTAATATTTGCATATTTCAAACAAGAAATGTTTCGTTAGATTTCTTACATGAGACTTTTGAATACTTTTGATCAGGTGAAGAGCAAATATACGGATATTCAAATATAGAAAGCACTCGTCTTAAACGGCGAAAGTCGACGTAGTCTAGCACGCGAGGGAACCAACGGCGTTTCCCGCAGCGTCGCGGTTTTTGATGTAATATAGAAGTTGTCGCGTGACGTAATCACTACAACTGTTCGTCCATTAATTCCGCCAATAGGCCCGACAAAGACCTCGAGTGACGAATTAAAAGTTCAGAGAAGCCCTAGACGCCCCAAGCCCGACGCCCTTTTTCCTCAAAAAAGAGGAGAAAGACCGTTCTTCTACCCGGTAGCCTTGCGCATTTACAAAGTTTTTACGGTCTTGGATTGCGCATTCCGACGGATGAAATTGCAAACTTAGGCTTGATATTTAATATAGGCGTATTTCGAAACTAGTAATTATTTTTCTTGGTGACCAACCTATAGACAGGAGAGGGGGTGGGATGATAGGGGCGTATTTTTTTCAGGATTTTAAAATTAGGTCATATACATGTATGCGCTTACGCATGCACTATGACCTAATTAAGGCCGTTGATTAAACGGAATTTATAACCCGACCGGCCGACCGGAAACCCTTAACCCCGCCGGATCCGCCTTCGACTAGATTGTCTCGTTGTATAGGGACAGCTGCGCGGCGCCCGAAGACAAGTTCATTCTTTGTGAGAATCTCGAACGACGGAGCGCGAACTAATTGTCCTAATAGAACGATGCTGAAAGATCGGGAATCTCGCGAGAAATTTTCGGTTTTTGGCCTATGGCTGTCAATTATGGCGCTCAATTTGGCGCAATTAGAGTGAGGGAAGGTTGGATGAGAAGAAAGGAGAATTTTTATCTCTCTATCTCTCTTTCATTCATTTATTCCTTTATTATTATAGTTAATATAAATGGAATTAGTTTTGCTACTTGGCGACATTTAGCGCGTTCGCTGCCTATATAGCGCTTTCCTATCTTACGCAATCGTTCACGTTCGCGTGACGTAATGTTGGCGGCGATTATGCTCTTTGATTGAGGCGGCGAATGAACGGGTTTTTACACCAACTAACGAATTGTCGAATTTCCTCTGTTTCGTCCCATCGGAGAGTGAACAATAGGAATTTAACGTCTTTCATGTTCTTATCTTGATGGAATCGCATTGGACGTCAATCAAAAACATATGCATAGATGCTAAATATAACCAAAATGGCACAAATTTATTTATAACTCACTTAATCGTTATATATATAAAAAAAAGAAAAACAAGAAAAAATTCTAATTAAAGAGAATTGGCAGTATAATAAAAAAAAAGTAGATTTCATTAATTTTTTAACGTTTTTATAAAACGTTAGAACTTAGAAATCAAATTATAAAATATCAATGCCAATCATTAGCTTTGAGTTCATGACGTAAAACATCAAACGGGCTAAATGGCGCCCTTTTCATTATCGCTATTCAACTATCTTGTTTACACTGTGTTTTTTATACTATTCTGTTACCTGTTGTTAACTGATTTTAGCATGATGAACTGAGTTGGCTCGGTGGGAGCCTATTTTATTTAGTATTTATAATAGCACATAATCTGAGTTGTCTTATATATATATATAGTATCGTAATATACAAACTATATATATATATATAGATATATTACAATTAAGTAAATAATAAACAAATAATAGACGTTTGTAAATACAGAAAGTATTAGATATACTAAATACACTAACCGAAAATTACGATACGTAGGCATAATGACCGAAATATTCAGTCCTATATATTTGATAAAGTTTCATTAATAACCGTATAAAGTCTGTTTTTAACTTCCTTCATATTATGATATACGAATAGCGGAAAGTAAGTAGAAATATTTAAAATAAAAGGATAGAGAAAATTAGCTTAGACGAAAAAAAAAGATAGAAAAGATAGAGGGAGAGAGCGGTGACGGGGTTAAGAGAGGAGACGGGTGGAAAAAGAAAGCAAAGTGGGTAGGAGAAAAAAGCAAAGATGTAGGAGAAAAAGACAAGGGAAAGAGAGAGGTAGTTGATGAGTAATAAGACTGTACATACATATCGAACATGAAATTATGTATACGAGTATATACATATATAAATTATATATATATATATATATATATATTAGTATATATATACAGTATATATATATCTATACACATGTATATATGCATATACAGTATATATGAATATATAAATGAATATACGCGCACACTAGTTATAGATTTATTAGGAAAGAAGGTGTTCAATGGCCAACAATCGACTGTAAACTATCAGAATGCTCTTTGGCCTTCATTCGTAGGGCAGCTACACTTGAATTGCAGTCGGTATTTGAAACTGGAATCGAATAGACACTAGTGGGTGCCGTCATGAAGGATTGATGAGAGAAATGTGATCCCATAATAGGTGCCGCTATCCATGGATCCAGTGGTAGACTACTACTTAATCCAGACGTGCTGGGACGAGACTGCAAAGTAGCCATGGGATAGTTTTCGTTCAATTTTATATTGGCCGTCTCCAATTTCTCCTGCCGCCGCCATTTGGCGCGCCGGTTTTGGAACCACACCTGTTTTAGCGAAAAATTCCGATTAATCGGCATTAAATTACATTTTTCCTGATAGGTTAGAAGAAAAGAAATTAAAAAGCGGGGAATGGCAAAAATCTCAAGTGAAATATTCAAATCTTTTTCTTAACAAAAAATGGTGTCAATTGCAAAAAAGAACCCAATTTAACAAGACCCCAGGGTGTTCATTTTTACAGGGCGTAGTTGGACCTATAATGAAATTACCGGGCTCTCCCTTTCTTCTCAACCTCTCCTCCTGAACTCTAAGCCTATAGCAAGAGAGTAGGAGAAAAATAATAACATAGCGAACAGTGAGTAGGAGGGGAGTGGGGAGAGTCGTTCGTTTATAAGGCAAGCGAAGAGATGCCGCAACGTTCGACGTCTAGTTTCGCTACTCTATAGCGTACATTAATAAGAAAATGGACTCTTGGCAAATCTTATTTCGCCCTGTTTATTTGCGCGCCTTTCAAGTTGGTCACCTACTCGGAAAATCACGCACGCTAAGCTTGTGTGGAAGCAGAAAATGCGTTTTCCAACGATTTTCGGTTGCGGCGTTCGGTGCTTTGAGCGCTGGCCTAAAATAAACTAGGAGCGTCCCTCTTCTTTTGCTTTCGAACGCCTCCTTCATGAACAAATTTTATTACGTTCTGCATGTGATGTGATGTAATTTGGACTCCTCGCGCTATATGACGCATGCGGCATTAATACCATATATTAGGCTTAATTCCAAAGACGCTGAAAGTCACGAACTAAATATTTCGAGCGTTCAGTACAAAGACAAAAAGGAAGAGACACTTCATTGAGAATTACGCGTCACTTTTATAAGGAGCCCACTTTCATTGGTTTTCTTATTAACAAATTAATAATATTAATAAACATAATTCGATAATTCCCCTCTTCACTTGACGTGACGTCCAAGTGACGCCTAGTAAAAAATTTTGGCTCAAAAAAATCTTATAAAAAAGAACATTACTTGAACCCGAACTTCAGGCAGATTAATCTTAAGCGCCAATTCTTCGCGGCTATAGACGTCGGGATAATGCGATTTTTCGAAAGCTCTTTCAAGCTCGTGCAGCTGATAAGTCGTAAACGTTGTTCGATTCCGTCGATGTTTCTTTTTATCCGAGTGATCATCATTTAATGCATCATCAGCCATTTTATCACTGTGCATTTCGTTTCCTAATTGTAAACAAAAAACAATACACGTTAATTAATTAATTAATTAATTAAACATTATCTTAGAATATCTTAATTATAGGAGAGAAAACAATACTGTATGAGAAAGGATTAATTCTGAGTGTATATGAGTTATAATTCCGCCATTAGATGGCGCAAATGAATTTGGTAAGTCTGTAATGGGTGAAAATTGAATCTGTGATATGTATAAAAGGAGGCATATGTAGACGTCCGATTTCTCATGGGACAATTAGAAAAATTATGTCGACGCCGACCGACTTAACGACATCCGACGTTTGGCACTAATTGATAGCGACCTTGGAACGCTTCGTCGGCTTGTCTATCTATATCTTCTTTTATATCTGATTGACGGACATCTAGGCAGAACTTGACCACCTCTATTTATGTTTCATAAAAAGTTAAAAAGTTAGACCCCCTTAAGCCTACGACGTAGGACACATTAACCGCGTCGCTGAATCGGAATAGGCGTCGCATGATGTGACATAGTTAATTGGACGATTAAAGGCGTCGTACGACGAAAGCCTAATAAATTTATAGGCCTAAGTTTGTAATAATTTGACAGTTTTAATTGGTTTATTGCTATCAAACGTATATCAAAAGATGAATAGCGGGAAATATAATAGTTTGCATGCACTCTGTGAGAAGCATTGAACAGTAAGAATAAGGTTATTATAGCCTCTATTAAAAAGAGAAAGTACCCTTTGGGTATCCTAAAAAGGAAAGAGTTGTGCTGAGGCAAAACAAAGGAAAAGAGAGACGAAAAAACAGTTATCTTCTCATGTGTAAGTATACTCTGTATCTTTGAATAAGAGTAGGAGGGCGGTTAGTAGGGGGGAGGCACATGGCAGGGGGGAGGAAGTAAAGTAGGGTTTAATTTCTCAATAGGGGAATTAGTGAGCGTCAACTATCCCGCAAAGTTTACTTTTCTTCAATTCCTATGATAGGGAATAGCTGATTTGGGAATAAGAGAAAGACATTCCAAGTATATTCTATTCAATTATATTATTTGGTAAAATTTATTAATTATTTAGATTTTTTCAAACGGTTGTCGGCAAAAAGAAACTAATATTTAATCGACGGCGTCATACTGACAGCGAAATTTCCGAAATCAAAAGAAACGCCGACATTTCTCTCTCTCTTTATTTTACTTAATGGACTCGTATACACAAAATCCCTACAAATCGAATTTGCGCTTATGCCCGTCTTTTGTGAGCAGTAATTCGTTGACAATATATCGAATTTGTTCGATCGTCGTTATTGGATTGATTGAATTCGATCGAATCGTTTAAAGATTTCCTTTTCGAATCCTAAATACAGCCTTATTTTGGTATAAAACTCAAAGAAAGGAGTAAATATTAGATTATTGGGCATATAATTTCTTTCTCTTCACCGATCTAGTAATCAGTCTTGTACAAATAGCAGGAAGGGAAAATTTCTAGAGGGAAGAAATTTGCCGTAATTAGTACGTCATTAACTGAACATCAACTAATCAATATTGTCAATTAATGCACACTCTTTCTCCAAGCCTTTGATTACAGGCGTCCGACACAATTACTTTAATCATCGTCTTTAGACGACCTTCTATTGTAAACTCCATTATTTTAGCCTCAGGCTAATGTAATTGAGTTAAAGTAGGACAATTTTTGTTTTAAATATAAAATCAAGGACGGGTGAAGGGAAAGTATCCCATTGCCGCAATCTTCTTAAGTTGGCAATCTCGGATAAAGAAGAAGACAGTTTAACTAATTAATCTGCCATTCGTGAAAAGCATTGAGTACTTATTAAAACCAACTACTTCCCTACGCCCCTTCCCGTTTCAATATTTCTTCCTCAATACCATAGAGACTTTATAATTCTTTAAATAGTTATGTTTTAAAAGAAATTCGACTTCTTCCTAGTTCTCTTATTTGTAAAAGGAAACCTAGCATGAAATTGTATTTGAGTAAAACATTCCCCCAAATTTTCTTCATTATATAATCTACTAACGCATTATTTTGAATTGCGCTTAAAGTCACGCCATTTTATGGCCAAAGTTGATATATAAAAAAAGAGTATAGAATAGCTTTGCTTTCTTACTCCACCCTCTTTTTGTTACTTTCTCTTTCATTTCTCATTGGGCAAACTTATACGAATTAAACCCGCCGTAAAATTAGATTCGCTCCATTTCGCATGGTCAATTAACACTTTACTAATTACTTCGTACGCCCCAATTACAACCGGCGCCAAACCGGGTTCGAAACACCGCCTCAAGGCGTCTAAGAGAAGCGTCTATTGAAAAGAATGGCGTAAAGATCGAAACGCTAATTGAGCGAGTCTAAGCAGGGGGTACGGAAAGAAGAAAAAAATATAAATTGCCCTGGGTTTCAAATTTCGTAAACCGGGTAAAATTTTTCTAAAATAGCAACTTCCTGTACGATAGACCCATAGGCCCAGACGATCAGACGCCGAGGCTTATTTACTGTAATTAAAGAAGGCGGCGCGTGTGTAGAAGGTCGAAGGAATTGAAAATTTAGTAGGTTGAACGAAAATAGAATACTTTCGAGTGCATTAAAATATCACAAACAATTTACGATTTACGTCACTGATATTTCAGATGAAAGGAGCGCTTTTTTAAACCATATTTTAAGTCTATACATTGTCAAAGGCTTTGCTATTCCCTATACTGTAAACATATCTCTCTCTTATAAAGTTACAATTATGTAGTAAATACTGTAAATACTCAAAAATACAAATATATATATATAACTTTCATTATTTACCGAAATCCTCTTTCCTCTATAAACTTTAATAGAATTTAATAATAGAAAAAGGATTATTCCTTTCTTTCATAATATAATTAGAGAAATTAAAATTTTTTCAACCTTCTTATAACTACTTTATTGTATTGAATAAGTGGTTGAAAACATTTTTAACGGACGATTGTTGAGAATTCATGTCGATTTTGATCTTTCACTTCGAATTATTTGCCAAACGAACCGTAAATTATAAAGTGACTGCTTGTATATAAAGAAAACATAACAGATGCTACTATAAGACCTTGTAAAGTTTTTTCTCTCTCTCTCCTTACCTTCCATAAATGTATAGTATACAGTTACCTTGTGTACTTTTACCGAGCATAATATACTATAACTAAACTAATTTACGAGTAACTAGTTCAATTTATCTACTTACCAGTCATTGTATGAATTATTTTAATGAATATCTTCTCATTAACAGATTAGGAAAAAACTATAATTCAACTATTTTTTTTTCGTTGCTACCAAATGTCTTCTCTTAACCGAGTCTGACCAAAGAATGATATGAGCATCTGTGGTACCACTCTAAAGGAGGCACCATAATGCTTTATTTTATACTCTAAAGATTCTTCCATAATTTCTGTTTCATGCCTACTTGGATTTATATATTCTCCATAGAGATTATTCATAATTATCTCAACTCTTAATTAATTAATTTTTTGATAAGTTTCCTTTGTATTTCGAATTTTTCATTATAATACACAGGCTTTTTTGTGTTTCATAGTACTTAAAAAGAATTACCGCTTTTTTCTTAGTCATTTAAACGCCTAAAAGCGTTCGGCCTCTCGACGCCAATTCGGGAATTTGACGAAAAAGAAACGCTCGACGAGTCGGGCGATTACGGCAATTTACACAAGAACTCTTTCATCAAGGCGCGCGCCATTCATAATTGCCCGATTGAATTATGAGGCAAAATTGGCGCGTAACGAAGCGACTGATAGGAAATTGAGTGGCGCAGCCTTCTAAAGGCGCCATATTGTCGATGCGTCTAAAGGAATTCGCTGTCGTCTATGCGTTCATCGGATGTCGGCCGTCGGTCGATTTCCGTCATTCCTTTTTTGTATTGCGTAAAACACACGCTCGGTTTTTTGTACAGAGGTTTTAGGTAAATAATAGATTTCATAGCTGGCGTTAATCCGATTACAACTAAATCGAATGCCAGACGGATTTGTTTGTTTACGTAACGCTTCTATAAAGAACTAGCGAAGTATGTACCGCAGTATAGAATTTAAGTCTGTACAAAGTTGCAGATTATTCTTTCGCACGCATGCTACTATTGTCTTGGAATTGTGGGAACCGAACAAACGGTTATCTCTCATCAAAAGCTCCTAATTAGTTTGACGGGAAATGACTCACCTTTCTCTCTATTCAGCCTCTCCTGTTCTCTCAATCCGAGAATATTGTCGATTGAATGGGAAGAAGATGGATTTGGAAGAGACATATGCTGCCTCGAATACATTCTTCTCCACTTTTCTTCGATCAACGACGCTTCTTTCAAACTCGACGAAAGTCACTAGCTCCACCTCTGGTTGTTGATTGGCTATTTCAACTATTATGCAAATCAATAAGGCGGAGCATATGGATAATTGAAGGCTACGCACAGTTTAGCGGCAAGGTTGTGATTGAGTAATTGCGGGCTTGTTATTCTTTTGTGCCGGCGGCGTTCCGACCGCTTTTCGTCTTGAATGGAATGTTTATTATTTATTTTTAGAGTTATTCATTCACTATATAATATTACATAAGTAGGCGCACGTATACTACCCACTGATTTTATTAGCTCGCGCAATTAATAAGAAATTATATTCTGTTAACTAATTAACCGAGAATATAGAAGTGACTTTGATCTTGATTAGCTGAGAATAAGCTGCAGGTGAGTGGTTTAAATTGTCAAGTCTCTTGCGCAATCATAAGGATAGTCACGCGAATTGAAAGCAATCGAAATAAATTTGTATATCTATTATATTTCCACTTTAAATTGAAAAAAAAAGTTCAAAAATAGACCTTGAGAAATGGAAAGGCGTTTTTTCTCAGAAAGCGATCAATCGTTGCTAAAAACTTTTACTTTGACCTTTGATCTCGTTCTCCCATCTGAACAAAATGTTCACGCATATCCCCCCATTTTCTAACAATATACTAAACGAAAAGGTTATCAAAAATACACCGATACAGTAGTGTAATTTGTGAGTTTTATTGCTATAATTATTCATTATTGGGAATTGATGATGTGCATAGACTATCCATACTTTCATAAGATGCATTCGTTTGCAAATTTCTAGAAGACGATGAAAAACAACTGCGAAGTTTGTACGTTACTCTTCTTATCACAGACCTATTAAGATAGTCAAGTAATTAACATAAATTCTCTTTACAAAATTGATCTTACATTGTTTGTAGTTCTTTGCTAACTTGTTCCAATGTACGCCCTCTTGTCTCTGGAACTAATAGACTAACAAAAAGGATGGATAATAGGCAGACAATAGCGGAAATTGTGCACATATTCGCTAATCCAATGGCAGCTGCATGAAAATTATTAAATTATAACTTCACTTTTAGTTTTTGTTAATAATACATTTACCCGTTACATCCAAGAATGTCATCGATACTAAAATGTTTGATCCGAGACCAAATATATTCGCCACAGAGAATGCTCTTCCTTTTAGAGATGTGGGAAATATCTCACTGAGAATTAACCACGAAACTGTAATAAAAACAAAAGGTGTGTGTGTGTGTGAGAGAGAAAGAAAGGTATAAATTTTAAGAGGATCTTGTAAATATAATAAAAATTACTTACTCGGACCAAAACCGATGGAAAATCCGATTACGAACGTAATTAAAGAGCTTATCACTAGGAAACGAAAGAATCTTGTTGGCTGTATTTCTAATTCGTTATTTGCTGATATATTAGCTGGAGTGGTTATAGAACTGTCGTTGAACGCGAACACTATTGAGGTCGTATTTTTATCATCAATGCATATCTTTTCCAATTTGAGATCGTTAGGTGAATTATATAAGGTTATTGCCAATAAAGCCATGCTAATCAACATTAAAGTGCAGCCAATTGTTAATAATCTCCGTCTACTAAATCTATCGACTACGAATAATAGACATCCAGTAAAAATACACTGTAAAAATAGTTTTAAAGTTAGCTAATTTCTCAAAGTGACTGGCAGCTCCATCTAGTATTTTATATTAGAATGAATCTCTTTGTTATTTAATTAATGAGTAGCTACTTTATTTGATAGCAAAACTACTAAACAGTGTTTATGTTATAAAGAGTTCACTTAATTAATTTAGAGCTGAATTAGTAATTAGTGACGAAACGATTGTTTTATTTTGTTACCTTTGCCAAACCTAAGCCAACTGTTGCCAAAGTAGAGGCTGTATCTTTATGAAAACCAATATGTTGAAATATTGTTGGCGAATAGAATAGTATATTTGGTTGACCAGAAAACTATAAATAGTTATATAAATTCATTTATTAATATCTAATTATTAACGTCTACATTGTATATTTACTTGTAAAAGAGTAACAATACTTATAGCGATGCCCATTCTTGCCATCATATTGTCTTTATTTCTGAATAGATCAAGGAAATTGTAGCGCTGTATGGAAAGTTGCACAAATATAATAAGATATATAATTAGATATATTTAAAAAAAATAAGCAGACAGATTCTTCGAACAAAGACTTCTTAATTAGATGAATTTCAGTCTCTATGGATGAATGACCTCGAAGTATTCTTAAGCAATTAATCGCCTATTAATTATAACATTTTTGTATTTATAAACAAACTCATTGAATAGATGTAATTGAGTGATAAACTTACTTCGGCTTCTTTATTCTTCAATAACAAATACCTGGGACTTTTCGGCATGTTTAACATTAATAGAGCCTGTATAACAGATGGTATGGAAGCTAATCCGAACATGTATCTCCTGAAAAAGAATTATAAGTTGTCTATCAAAGATTAATATAGTATTAGGAAGAATTCAACTAACCATCCATCAGAAGTTGTAATAAGTAAATAGCTGACAAGGAATGACACTAAAAACCCCAAAGTTATACCAAATTCATATAATGAAACCAATCTTCCCCTTAATTTCTAATTTAAAAACAAAAATTAAATAGTATTATTAACTAAGGCAGCTATTTTATTCGACATAGTAATCGAATAGCTTACTAACAGAAATTGCTATTTCTGACATATAAATACAAGTTGAAACGGACGATAATGAAACAGCACACCCGACAAGTAACCTGGCAAATATCTAAAAAGAAGATAAATGTTAGATAATTTGTAGAAAGAACTTATTTTCATTACCAAAATACTAAAATTCTGAGCAAACGCCAATAAAAACGAAGCTATTGTGAAGATTACACAATTTATTATAATTGTAACTTTTCTCCCAACCTTATCTACTAATAGACCTATAAATATTTTTAAGAATTAGAAAAAATAGGAATCAAAATTCAATTATATTACTATTTACCCGCTATTACATATGAGACAATACCACCAATCAGTGCAGAGGAAACTAATAATTCTCTGTCCTTACAATTCAATTGAAAATGAGTTTTTAATTGAAGTAAAGCACCAGATATAATACCTGATAATATCGATTATATATTTAAAGTATGATCTATATGAAGGATAACCTACCAATATCATAACCGAATAAAACTCCATTAATACAAGATAAAATTCCAGCCGAGATTGTTAAGCAGGTTGGAAAGGACTTTTTCCTTGGAGGAATAGTTGGAGACAAGCTTTCGGAGGATAGTAACGATGTTTCTATGTTGTCACCTTCGTTCGTTCTAATTTCAGATTCGGTATCTGATAATTGATCATCGCTCTGGATTGAAAATTTCCTTTCTCGTTCAAAAGCAATATTTGCTTTCGAAAATTCTTGATCAATTAATTCACCTAGAGGGTTATTATTAATTATTTAGCAAAGTAATGAAAGTAAACTGTAATTTAAGCAAAGTTTACGGTTGATTGCATCGACTAGATCGTCAATTTCACTGTCGTCCATTGATATGCCGTATTATCGCTCACAATATGTAATCACATTTCGTAACAAATAACAAGTTTTTCTTCAACAGTTATTTGATGCGATTTTAATTTTCCATTTAAGCCTGTAAGTCACATAAACAAGTCACTGCATCATTTTTTAACTGAAAAACGCAGCAAATTCTTGGAAGAAAAGTGTAAATAAAAAATCCCATCATTCAAACTGTTTCGAGAAAACACCTCAAATCGGAAACGAGGCTGTAAAAACACGGAATCCCCCAGCTCTTGCGATTTTCTCAAAGTAAAGAGGCTGGAGTAATCGCAAATTATCTTATAAGAATTAAATGTTTAGAAATTTTAATGGACGGAAATGAGGTAAATAGTCATTAAAGGAACAATCTGGGTAGTCGTCATTATTATAAAACCCATTCTAAAATAGGCTTTGCAGCTTTAGTGATGACTATAGAAAATGGCTAAAAAATTAACTTTTTTTTAAGGAGGAACCATCTTTTAAGAAGACCAAAATCCAAAATGTTTCCAAAGATGACGAAGATGGATTGTACACTCGAACAAAACGTTAGTATTATTTTGATTCTAGTAATATCTAGAATTTAAATTTCGTAACTTTCAAATATAAACAATCTATACATTCTAATGCAGGAGTAGTAAAAGTGAAGCAATTTTTTCCCTGTCCGGTTTGTGGTGAGGAGTTGACTAGTGAAGAACTGTCTCCTCATTTAAATAATGAAGTATGCTGGCTTCAGGATTACACCAAGAAATTATTCAAACGCCATACTTATTCATCATCTCGACGTACTGTTTCTGAAAGTGATGATAGAATAACCCCTTCTACCTCAACTAGTACCGAAGAAATGACTCATAAAGATATGCGAGAAGCTCTCTTGCAGGTTCGACAAAATCGACGACAAAGAGTTCGAGGGGCTGCTAGGTGTCCTGTATGCTTTAAAGCCATTCCAGGAGAAGAGCGAGACGTTCAGGAACATGTTGATTCTTGTCTTGAGCGAAGTGTTAGTATCAGTTTTCAAGTCAAAGAGGATAAATAGATAATTTTATTGATAATAAATAGACAAGAAGAAACGAAGAAGAAAACGGACAGATCGTCGTAGATGAAAGCACTGACGACGATGAAGAATTTGATTCGTATACGTGGTGTGGACAAACAAGAGTAAGAGCAACATCAGGAATGCATAGCCATGCATTTGGTTCCCTAGCAACAAGAGGCAAGAAAGCAACCGAAGATGAAGATGCTGTTGTAAATGTAGAAGAGGTAGAAGAGAATCAATACGGGGACACGCAATACGATGAGAAAGATGTTATTTTACCTAGTCGTTCTAATAATGCTGAAGTTCGAGAAGCCTTAGCTATTCGTTCAGCTTTAGTAGGGTAAATACATAAATTATTTAGAAAGCTAATTGACCTAATTAATATTAAATGATTTTCAAATAATTATAGTCAAAGTCAAGTTGACATTCCTGAAAGTCGAAAGCGTTGGGAAGATGTAGGAATTGAAACTACAGAAATAGCAGATGAACAAAATGGAAAAGAGAATAAAATAAGAGATTGTTGTAAAATGATTCAAGATAAATTTGATATAACAACAAAAAATTTAGAAAATTTACAGGGAAACATCCAGAAATGCTTAATATGCATGGTAAGTTTGTACAATAATTTCAATACTTTTAACTATTAAAAGACATTTGATAATATGTCATTTTTCAGGAACCGTATCAAATACCAGTAGTATCTATCACATGTTGGCATGTTTTCTGTGAGGAATGCTGGCTTCGTTCCTTAGTAAGTTATATAATTAGTATAAAATTTAAAAGCTAAATTAGACAATAAGTGTTTCATTTTGTTTTTTAAAAGGGATCCAAGAAAGTTTGCCCTAAATGCAACGAAATAACCTCTCCATCTAATTTAAGGAAAATTTATTTATGACTGACGATCGCAATGTGCGATAATTTTACTACATGGGATATCATTGATATCTAATTCAATTAATCATGTTATATATAGCTATCCAAGTAGAATTTATAGAATAAATCGTGTATATATTATTATCTATATTATTATTATTAATATTTTACTTTCCAGTGCCATAGTCAGTGTACTGAAGAGGTTCAATTCTAGTAGATAGATGTTTATGAACCTTTGGCCATAATTCATTAGAATACCTTCCGGTGAATACTTGTAAAAGTTTCTTTTCTCTAAAATAATCCAAAACAGGTTCAGTTTGATTTTGATAAGCTTTTAACCTTGCTAAAACTGTTTCCGGCTTATCATCGGCTCTTTGAATAAGTGGTTCACCAGTCACATCGTCAATCCCCTATTCATTGAGGAAAATGCAAATAAACTCATTGTCAATAAAATGAATAAGAAGTAGAAATATATTATTTACGTGTTGTTTAGGAGGATTAAATTCTGTATGGTAAACCCGTCCACTACCGATATGTACCAAACGACCTTGTATCCTCTCAATAATGACCTCAAAAGGAACGTTCAAGTCAATAGCAATATCAATTTCTGTATGTTTTAGGAGATCCTTTGCCTGAACAACTGTACGTGGAAAACCATCCAATAACCAGCTTCCATTTTTAAAATTGCTTAATTCATTTGTAATTAACTTGGTCATAATTTCATCTGGTACAAGGTGTCCATTGTCAATAAATCTTTTAGCAGTTTCGCCAACATCTGTAATTTGTCAGGCATTTTTATAATTTCTACTCTTGATTACACCTAATTAAAGAGAAAACTCCCACCTGTTTTATTTTTCATATTAGTCCTTAGCAAGTCACCACTAGATAAATGTTTCATAGGGAAGTCTTTAATTATCCTTTCGGATATAGTTCCTTTTCCAGAGCCTGGTGCTCCCATTATGATTGCTCGCAAACATTTTGAAGCCATAGTTGACAAAATACTGTAAGTCTATTCGAAGTGAAAATGATGAAGTAACCGACAAAGGGCAAGGTGAAAAGATGTTTTTTAGACAGCGAAACATCTGTACTTGCTCTATTTCCCGTTCCGCTCTTGATAACGAAAGTGAAGAGGCCGTATTTAATATATTATGATAAACTCTCTAAAATGTTATAAATAATGCACACAAAAAATGGTACATTGAAAAACGATCATATTTATAATCGTAGTTTATTTAAAAGTCTTTAAGCGCGAAATTTAAAAAGTTGATTTCAAAAAAAAACTGTATTAAGCTTAATAAGATTATATCGTTACGTAAAACAAATAACTATAAAAAAGTATGGCATTTTGAGCAATTTTTTAGTATCAGGATAAAAAATTTCTGAAAGAAATTAAGTTTGTAACTGTTATATATAAAAGCCTTAATACTTTGTCCAAGTAGTTTTAGGTATAGTCAAATTATTCAAGTCAAATGTATTGTTTTTTGACATTTCGTGCGTTTTCAAATGTGTTTTAAGGTTGCACTGTAAGGCAAACCTCTTACCACAAACGTTACATTGATGAGGTTTATCTCCGCTGTGCAAAAGTAAATGATTTTTTAAATTGGTTGCCTTGCTGAAACCCCTCTGGCATACTTGGCATCTGAATGGCCAAGAACCATTATGGACATAGGTATGGGACCGCAAATCTCCTGGTGTTGGGAAAGATTTTGAGCATAATTTGCATTTATGAGGTTTTTCTTTGTCGTGTGTCATTCTATGGTAGTATAGATTTGAACTTGCTGTAAATCTTTTACCACAAATTTGACATTCATGTGGTTTTTCTCCAGAGTGTATTCTCCTGTGTGTATTTAAACTAGATGACGTCGAAAATGATTTACCACACACATCACACGAATGAGGTTTCTCACCCGTATGTGTCCTCGTGTGACGCCTCAACAGCGATGGTCTATCAAATTTTTTCCCACAAACTGTACAAGGTAGCCAAGTTTTTTCCTTTTTATTTCTAATAGGATTTCCCGGAAGCGAGTTATTATAGAATAGAGAGGTTGTTGGATGGGGCGGAGGAGGTAGTGGAGGAGGGGGAGGAGGAAGAGGTGGATTCATTGATGAAAATAGATGTTTAGGTGGAGAAAAAATATCACTAGTTGGTGTTAGTAAATGAGAAAAAAATCTTGTATCATAAGGCGATTGGAATTTCTCCGATAAAGTTGATGTTGATGCAATGCCACTGTCTGACAATTCTCTCTTAGCTTCCATTTGAAATAAAAGTTCTTGTCCGGCATCTATATCACATAAAACTTTAAAACCAACAATACTGCCATCTATATCTCGAATATCTTCTAAATTTTCACGTTTTGAATTTCTCACAAATCTCACCCAATTACAATGTCTAACCAAGTGCTTTTCGACCGACATAATATTCTCAATGCATCCTCGATCAAATCGAATCTAAAAATAGAAGCAAAAAACATATTTTTAACATCTAAGTTTAATGCCATCTGGTGGGCGCAAGTGTAATGGTTGAGAAAATATTTTCGATTTGCCTACAATCAGCGAGATTTTTGAACCCTTTGAACTGGGCTGATGTTGAAGCTGACAGAGTAAGAGTTGCAATTTTACGGATCTTATAGAATATTGAAAAGAGTATAGAGAAATGAGCAACAATTCTGAATTTAATTGGTCATATATTTTTTCTATGCATTTACATCTATCAATTTCATTTGCTTTTATATTTATTCAATAGATTAAATCTATCAAGTAAAGTTTACGGAAGGAGGAAAAGAGAGAAAATTATAGACCAGTCGGCGAATCGGCGCCAGCAGCTGTCAATGGTGAAAGATGATCAGTAAATGAAGCGTATTGCTCTGCATTGAAATCGTCTTTTAAAATACACCCATAGTCGTTTAGCGACCCGAACAGTATTATAAATTCGAATAGATAAGAGACGAGCATTTGTTCCATGTGAACTATGCCTATTCTATAAAAAAATATTTTTGTCTCCTTTCACCCTTATTTTATTCTGGTTTTCTTTTCTTCTTGTCGGCCTACTTGATCTTGTTTATGGTATTTTCTAAAATATTGTCACTTTCTATATTCTTTAAATAAATAACTGAAAGAAAATTTCTTTCTTTAACAGTAACTAATAGGAACCTAACAAAATTATGAATATCGGGATCATATTTCTCTCAGTTATATCATGTAGCATATAATTTTCAAAATAGTTTGAATTAAGCTATATAAAATAATTGAATTAGCAACAAAGGAAAGCTTACAAAAAGTTTAATGGGTGGAATTTGAATAAAAGAAGGTGGAGAGGAGGAGGTGAAGAGAGAGTGTATAAATGAGAGATATCAGAAAAGACAGATAATTAATCTAGACATTTCTCTTTTTTTATAAATTGTTTCAATTTGACGAGTATTTGAAACGCTGTGGCGCGTGGCGCTTTCAATACAACAGACGCTTTGTATCTTCTCGCCATTTTTACGACCATCCTGCTCTCGCGTGGCAGTCATTAGCATATAGAATGATGAACGTAATTTATTGCGCGTCACTGCTCTCTATATATTTTAATTATCGTCCAGACTGTATAAAGGGAAAAAATGATGGACCGCTATCTAACGACCCAACAGAAAATACCCTGACCGTTTCGGACATCTTCTTTCAAAGTCATTGTCTGTAAATTATTGATTCTCTAACAAAGAAGACCACTTAAAAATTTTACTATATAGTCTATCCTCTATTTTCTTCATTACCGTGAAGTTGACACGTCTACATTTATTTCATAAACTGATAATTATTGCAAAATATTTTAAATTTAATGTTAGAAAATTGTAGGCTATTTTGAAAATTTATATTCAAAGAATGGAATATATTTTCTATAGTTGATGAAAAGAAGCCGTCTATAGATGATGCATTTCACAAATCGTTTTACTGTTCATTATGGTCTATAATTACCGTTTATGGAGGTTTGGAACGAACTGTCGACTTTTAAATATATAGGGGTACTAAAAAACTAGTAAAGAAATACCAATTTGATATTTTATTGCACGATGAACAAGTTTCATTTGGTTTTAAACCTTTTTAGGACCATCTTCACAGGGATTCCGCCGTATTGTTAGTGTAAATTGCCGATCATAATTCTAAGTTCATTCGTAGGAAACAGCACAGCGACTGTTCGAGGCGGGTGGTGCTATACGGGCTAGTAAAATTGAGTAGAATTCTAATGTTCTTTTAATGATTCTTTTATAGAGTGGTATATGCATGCGTGCATCCGAATTGACCTTTTCTAGCACTTAGAGATATGGTCTTTAAGTAAAAACCAGAGCGAGTCAAAAATTTTAAGGAATAGATGAGAAAATAGATTATCTTAAGGTCATTCATCCGATTCTATACCGGCATTATTATTTTCTTAAATATTATCACCTTGAAAATTTTACTCTTTACAAGGGTTTTTATAATGTATTTTTAGCAAATTGCCTCGTAATTAGTTTATTTACCAAATAGATTGCTCTTCGTTATTCCTCAATAAAGGGAATTTGAATGAAGAATGAATTAAAGAAGAATGAAAAGAAAGAGAAGGTTTATAAATGTTTGTTTACTTACATCGTCCTTTTCTAAAATTTCACTTATTTGATATTGAAACAATTCAATTCGTCCTTGATTGGGAGAGAGAATGCATCCTTTTTTCAACTTTTTTCTAGCTCGAACTGACACTCCAACGTCAAATTTGTTGAATGTTCCAGGATGATTGTTATCTTCATGTTGTTTAAAAGGTTCCAAAACTAACGAAAGACAGTCGGGAATTAAAACGCAGCTCTCCATTGAAAAAATCGAAATGAACGGACAGAATATCAATAAGATTTCGATCAGAAAATGACGTAGAAAACATTGTCCCGCCTACATTTTGTAAAGATCAGGCAATTCTTGAAAACATTCAACCAATCGCCACCATGTGGGCGGAGTTATAAGTTTTAGAAAATGGAGAAATATTACCTTCGGGTCATGTTTGACTTGGACAAAGAAAAGATAAGGGCTTATCAGTGGATGAATTTAATAGGCTTGAAATTACACGTTCTGCAGATGGGGGTACTTTATGTGACCCCCTTGTTTTCCCATTGATATCCTTGACCGTTGTAAAAATAAACTCAATAAGTATAATATTCAAATTTAGAAAGACGAGAAGAGAAACTGAAACCGTTAAATTTTTAAATTAAAGTATTAAATTGCAACATGCAAAGGAGGAACATCTTCGCGATAATTGCAGACTAATCTGTTCAAGACACTCTTTCGATACTCTTAAATAAAATTGACTTGATATAATAATTTGTATTATTAAATTATTCCCCAATTATTTGTCATCGTTTTTCCACTGTAGAAACAAATTTCCAATAGTGTTTCATGCAAGAATTACAAGTACTTTTACTTTGCTTAATGCTCTCTTTCTCCCCTTTCGCTCTCCCTCTTTCTCACTCTTTGTAGTTAAATTCGTACGATTCGATTCAAGCGTGTTGAATAGTTTGTTCAATTATCTTATTTTTGAAGACACAGAGCAAGGTGTTTAAATAATGCTAAATTACCTGCGAACCCCATATTTACATCTAATTTATATCTAACGATCAAAAAAGCTGAATTGTATCCGGAAGGCTTTTCACTATCGTTTACAGCGGTTTACCTATTAATGATATGTAATCTACGCGATAATAGAAATAGCTTTTATACAGTCATTTGTATGTTCATTTTTACATTTATCATAACATTATCTAATAATTACTGCTATTATAGCTAATTATAATAAACTATTTAAATAATAAAGTACTTTTAGAATGTTAAAATAATTAAGTTAAGGTATAGTAGTTCTTTTTTTTTGTATTTCGATGCTCTCTAAACATAGATGTCATTTTTAAGAGTCTGCTTTGAAAGTATATGTTAAAAAATTGTTAATGTCAATTTGATTCAAACATCATGAGAATTTAACTACGTTCCTAAGTCGATCTCTAAAGTATAACCTTTCTTGGCCATCAAAACTTCAAACACCCTACAATACGATAATAAACTTTTATATAATAGCAGAAACCTTGACGAAAAGGAATTTTGAGTTCGGACAATGTTAAATTCAGCACGTATATAATACTACATTCTTGGGGTTAAATCTCTGTTTCTTCTCAAATTTATTCTTTTATGTCAAAGCTTATTTCTGGTGAATGAGAGTCGAATATTAAGAATTAAGCGAAAAGAGGCTTTTTTTAAGTGTTATACTTGTAAAAAGTTATTTTACGATTACGACAGTAAATGATTGAGTAATACATTAATCTTGAGTATCTGATTGGTAAGACAAACGATTTATTGTTAACAAATATTTAATTTTATAGTAGTGATATTATTCAAAAGTATTTCTATTAGCTTTTATATAAAAGGCGCGTTTATCTGGCTTACTTCCGGCGGAACATTGAAAAGCAATTGTTTATTACATGTGGACGATATTTAGAAAACGTCTTGCGCTTCCAATCCCGTTACGAAAGTATATTGCTTTTTTATTGCTCAATTACAACAGCTAGTTTTGTTTATCTATCAGTCAATCATATCAACGCCATTTAATTCCAAGTACTTTTTGCAGATGTTTTTCGGAATTAAGTCATTGGAAAGACGTAAAACCTGATGAAACTCCCTTTGAAATTCTTAAACAGTACACATCTGTCCCTCTTGAAAAATACCACGTCTTTCTACCACCAAAAGAAAGTCTTGTTAAATCATCTGACTTATTTTCCAAACGAAATGAATATATCGTTCATAAAGGAGCTATACACCCTGATAAATTGCCAGATACTAAAGAACTGGAGGTGAATTTTAAACTTATTTAATGGTATCCACAGACCATAAATTATTTGATAAATTCTATAACTAAAAGGTAGCATTACTTGGTCAAAGTAATGTTGGAAAATCATCTCTTATTCAAGCATTGTATAATCATAATGAAGCTCTTAGGATAAAAACATCAAAAAAGCCAGTAATTACTTTTATGACCAACACCTTTCTATTATACTCGCTTCAATAATTTGTTTGAAAATAGGGTCATACTAAAGTAATCAAAATCTATTCTTACCCCAAAAATTTCTCTTTGGTGGATATGCCTGGTTTTGGTGAAAATATGCCGAAATACTTTGAAGAATGCGTCGAAAACTATTGCGTAATGAGACGACAGTAAATAATATTAAATATATTTTTATACATATAATTAATAATTCGAATTGATCTTTTCTCTCTAGGTTGACAAGGCTTCTTTTACTGATTGACGCTGAACAAGGTATAACAGATATCGATAATATAGCTCTCGATATGCTTGAAGAATTTAACAGGCCATACGTGGTAGAAATTTTTGATGAATTTCTTTGAAAAATATGATGTTATATTCTTTATTATAGATAGTTCTTACGAAAATCGATAAATGTCATATAAGTCAACTCATTAGAACTATAATTAACGTTCAGGAAAGAATTAAAATGACTTTGCATTGTTCTTTTCAACAGCCATTCCTTGTTAGGTTTGTTTATCCTTAATGGATTCTTTTATTAATAACAATAATAAGTGATATACAATGTCTTTTTTTTTTCATTGCATTTTCTTTAGCTCTAAACAAGATCTTGGATTGCACCACTTGCGATGTTTTATTGCTTACGTTACCGGATGTATTTCTATAAGGAATCTTTAATAGTTCTTAAACTATTTTCAATAAAAATAAATAAAAAATTGCAATTACTTTTCGAGACCTCAACTGCGCCATCTGTATTCAATATTAAACACAATAACGAACAAGTTTTTCAGTCGGTAGATGGCGTTAGATATGCAACAATATTTTTTAAGTAATTTGATTAATAAGATATATAATTATAAAATTCTAAAAAAGCTTCATTTGTATTGACAAGATATAAAAAAATACTTTGTTTTCTTTGTTTCTTTGCAAAACGTATAAAACGAAAAAAATTGTGAAAGCAGTCTTTTTGTTTGTTTGTTTGTTTGTTTAGTTTTGTTTGTTATAATTAGTTTTATAACAATAGCACCAAATAATTTTTTTTTACGGATAGCTCATCCGTTTTAACTAAACTCGCACTTCATAAAATGTTTTTTTTGTAGAATTCGATCCAGAATCACTGGGTGTCGGAGCTAAAACAACAGGAATTTCGCATGATCGCTGTAGTCGATCTAAATGAATAAAAAATTTATAGATTTTTATATCTAAACAATAAATATACTTGTATCATTTGGATATAAAACTTACGATGAGGGTAGCTGTAAGTATCATTTCCGTTAACTTCAACTGTAGACGGAATATCACATACGTCATTAAGATTACTAGTCAAACACTTTTTCGTTCTTGACCATAATGAATCGTCCAATTTTTCACTGTTTGTACAACAGTTAAATGATATAAAAATTCGATTATTGATCGAATACTTGTATTATTTTCGATAACTTACTCGATAACGACTTTTTGACTAGGGGGTTTTCTTCTTTTAATAATTGTAAATATTACGATAATCAATAGAATGAGAACAATTGACACTGATACTATTCCAATTATTATTACTGTTCCGGTTGAAATTGCCTGTTGTTCTTCAACATCGTCGTAAACTATTAAATTGAGAATTGTAATTATATTATATTGTTTTGTTCAAGCAATATATTGAATCTTACCAAAAAGAGCTTCACTATTTGGACCACAAATACTTTTGAAATGACGAGAACAAAAAGACACTCTGATTTTCTTTGGTGAAAACTTGCTGGAAACTTTGTATGTTCCATTTCCGTGTGGAGCGCAAGTTACGAGAATTTTCCAGTCTTTTTTGTTATTAATAATATATTATTATATAATAAATTAGTTAATTAATATAAATGTTAATGTTGAAAAATGTATAGTCACCTTTTTCGTAAATTTCTACTTTGACGCATATAGCCGATGATGGAACTCTATATGATAAAATTCTCTTTGAAAAGTAGTACTCTATTCTCTGAGGTACGGGAAGTAAAAGCTCTGTAGAAATGAATTCAACTGTTTTCAAAAGCCTAATTTAATAAGAAGAAAATACGTACTTGACGTTTTAAATGTTAGAGAAGAGGTTGGAGGGCCAAATCCCATGATATTGAATGGATAAATTGTAACTTCGTAATTGTTATCTGGCTCTAACCCCGTCAAGTTGTAACGATTTTGGGTAATTTTTTCAATATGGAGAGGTAATTGGTTTGAATTTTTCTTTGTATAAACTAATTTAAATGATTGGGTTTCACCCCCGTCAAAACCAGGTGTCCAATATAAATTGAGACTATTCCAAGTTCGGCTACTCAATTTAAAATCTTTTATTTGATTTGGTCGAGATTTTTCCTGTAAAACTACTGAAGTTTCTCCCTTTTCGTTATATTTATTAGTTGCGACACATCTATAATTTCCATAATCGAGTTTCGAAACCTTTATAATCGATAGTGAACTTTCGAACTTTTCTCCTTTACCGTTCTCTATTGATATTCGTTCTCTGTTTTAAATCAAATGATAATTAAGCAATCAGAAAGTTGTGAAATGCGTAATGAAAAACGTACTGAGGAGATAGTAGTTTGTCTCCCTTATACCACTCAACGGTGGAAGATGGAACGGAATGAACTGCACATTGTAAAACTGCTGGAATATTATCTTTGATATCTACAGCAGCGAATGGTGTTGAAGTAGTAACGATAGGAGGAACTGTAATGGAAAAGATACAAACATAATAGCTTGTTAAACTAAAATATAGTCAATTTTTTAACAACTTACATTCAATTATGAGTTCCGTTTCGGATTGTATCTTTCCATAAGTATTGGACACAACGCAGGTATAAATACCTGCATCGGAAGGATTTAGTGTATTGTCGGCCGAGTATTCATTTATCCCCCGGTCGTAACCGTAAAATACGATACTACTGATAGTCGTCCAAAATTTATGTAATACACTATCTGTGTGAGATTCCTCTACTCTATAGAGACTATGGTAATGAGGTATTTGGATTAGATTAATGGAAATAAATCCTAATGTAATTAAAAGTACTTACTATTTATTGTCTGTGATTAATTTACCATTCTTAAACCATTGTATTGTTGAACGAGGCGATGCATTAAATGCGCAAGATAATCTTCCAGGCTTATGACCTATATCCCACACAGTTGTTTTATTCATAGTTATTACGGGTTCAGGGGGTCCTGCAAAGGGTAAAATAAAATAAATGTAGATGGCGTTACTAGTAAATTGTGGATTTCAAAAGATCGGGTAAAGAAGCGGGGGGGTAAAATTCCTCTGCGGGCAAAAAGCTTTCACTATTGACGGCAAGGGCGTCAAAAAGCACTCAATAAACAGCAATACTCGGAGCAATATTACTGGTACCGTGACTGACTAGTAAAAGAGAGCGGTTCCGGCCGATTAATTCGGCACGTAATAGAAATGTTGGTTAAAATACAAGGAAAATAGTTAGAAAGAAATAAATAAACAAACTACTACCACTTGAACACGTGCGTTCTACATTAAGTCAATCAGCAGACACTTCATTAGCGGCGTGCCAAAAACGGCTAACGACTTAGTGTATTCCTTTCTGTTTTGCTTTTGTGTAGTATGTCTTTCCCTATACTTGTTTTTAATGAAAGAGGATGTTGGATTGTAATGTGTGAATAGGGAGCGAAAAAAAACGTTGTTATCTCGTTAAACGAATTTGTGTATCTACTTTCGAAGAAAGTAACTTTTCCCTTTAAACTTTCTATTTATATTGAGCAAACTTTTTAACAGAAATAATCCGCTTTTTAAATTACTGCCGATTTATGCTGTATACTTCTATTTAGTAGAATATTTATACATGGCATATTATATAAAGAACTTTTAAAGGAAAGGAAAATATTAAGGGATTCGTGTCAATTTATATTCTATTTAGTCGCTAAACGACTCTCATCCCTTTTTTTCATCCCTTTTAAACCCTTTATTATCTTAATGTTATCTTTTTTAGAGGTAAATATCTCTGTTCGTCAGATGCTAGCGTTAGCATCTAGTTTTAGATAAGCTGGATAAGCTGATTTCCCATTTTATCGCTAAACTTTCGCCCCCGCCGTTTAAGCATTTGTAGCAATGAATGTTTCCCATAGCGTAGTATTTCCGCTGAATTTTTTGTGAACTTTAAAACTATGTTCGTTTTCCTTATCTATTTCTTCTATATTTTCTTAAATATTTCGATAAAAACTCTTAATGGGGTAACGCCTATTTTTTTACCTGCTTCTAATCTACACCTTCGTTAATTGCGACTCGCTGTAAAATTACTAGCGACTAATTAATTGTTTCGCTCGCGGCATCGCTTTGTAGTACTTCCGACGAACTCTATGGCTATATTTGTAAAATAAAGAAAACGACACGGTCACTGGTATAACGGCCAGCTTTTTAACGCTAATGTACAAAACATACACGGGGGGTTGTGTTCCACTGTCAATTGCACAGAATTCCATATGACGTCATCATGGCAAAACAACTCTTTAATTTCCGTCTGTCACCGTCGTTCGGCCGATTTACGTAACGCAAGGGGCAGAGACGCTATAGACGCCATATGTCGAAGTGGCAGTTACGTACATACAGAAAAAGAGGGGTTAGGCGTTTGTTCAAACAAACTTTAACTCTTATACTTAATAAAATGCCGCCTTGTTTGCAAAGCGGAGGTATTAGTAAAGGAGAAAGGAAGGAAAATATGCCGACATATGCATATCTTTATAGTAAATCGCTAAAAAGAAAGATATTAAATAAAAAAGGAACTCCTTTTGTGATATTTTTATCAGAGACGCTTGTCCATTAAAAAAGGAGAAGAAAAAACAAAAATAAAAACTTCTCGTATTACATATCGGTATTTTTGTCTATTGAATAAGGCCGCTACAACAAAGAGATTGTAATCAACAACCACCTCATAGTCTTCCTAACCAGTCGACCGAACAATGCATTGTTACGCCTATACATAATGAAGTACATGAACAAACCCCGCGGGTAAGAAATTTATGTTCAAACGGTTTTTTTCACTTTTCTCAGATTTCCCGATCCTTAACATCTTAGACCGCGGTCGGAAGAGATAAAAACTTACCTTCAACGACTAAGGCAATATTCCTAGCAGGACCGCACCCTAGGTAATTACAGCAAGCGCAATTATATGCGTTCCTATCGGCGTATTTCGTTCTTGGTATGATGTAAGAGTTTCCCCGTCCCACCGGTTTGTAAGGGTGGATTGTATACCATAAAATCGTTCCACTAGGATTACCTCGTTCCTTTATAGTACAGCTCATATTAACCCTTTGACCTTCCCCCTTCACGACAATCTCCTTCGTTAATTCTTTAGTCGGTCCTGGCTTATCTATAGACAAATAAAAAACGAAAAGATATAGAAAGGAAAACTTCAAGAGAGCATAAATAGGAAAAAAAATATCGGTTTAATTATTTACTGACAAATCCGATTATAAAAGCTTCGATCCGCCCAGTTCGGCGTTAACGAACGGCTTAATAAAGTTCGTTTCGGATAATTAGTAAAATCGAACGGTTTTAAATTCTTCCAATTCCCATAGTTCACCCACCACATGGGGAAACTAGGTTTTAATCAAATAAAAAACAGGGTTACAATTGAAAAAGGGCTAAAAAAAAATGGCCCTCATTCGATCATAATAGGCCTAAATATTTTTTTTATAGATCCCGCTGAACCCTTTCTTAAACGATAAATTTTTTTTGCGACCCCTTTCCTTATCCCTCTCAACTTTTTAAAAGAGTATAAAAAAATAAATAAATAATAAACACCAGGAATAATGAATAAATAAATAAATACGTATACAAATATTGGTGTGAATATTAATACATTTACAGAATAGAATTCTAATTTTTCTCTCTCTGTCTCTCTGTCCCTCTCCCTCTCTCACCTCTGAAATAAACTAATAAACTTGATTGCTTGTCCAGGTGCATATATGACGCCCGAACGTATTTGCATATTTACCGTGCGTATAGGAGTTACGACGGAGCACATGCCCGCAAAATAAATTTACTTTTCCAGGATTAAAAAGAAAATCGTTGCGATTTATCGAATAAATAAAAAATAGTGGAAGGAGGAAACATATAGATTTAGCTATAATAAAATATCGAATAAATAGTGCTTTTTTTGTTGTTGATAGGTTTTGTCCCTTTATTATCGCTACATAAACAACGAAATTAATAGGAGAAAAGTATATAAAAATATATAATATGGATCAATTATCTCAAATGCGGAAGATTCTAATATTTAGATTGGAGGCGGAGCGTGTCCACCAGGGGGATTAATGAAGGTAGGGAGCACGACCTCGGCTATGTGACACGCGCCCTTTTGCAGCTGCCGCCTTTCACATAACCTTTTCCAGTACACAGGTAGGGCATTAATAAATTACGGGTAAATGCTAGCTTAATTCCTTTTTCCATCGCCACTCTATTCTCTAAAACTGCCCCCGTCGACACCTTCCATTTCCACCCATCTTTTTTTTAGTCTGGGAACCGCCCAAGGTTCTCTTCCCGTATTATTACGCGGGCTGAATAAAAGAAAATTAGGAGAAAAACGTCCTACAGAAGACGTCGGGATTGGACAATACCATCAAAGTCGTTAAACGTAATAAGGCGTAAGGAGGGGGTTGAAGACCTCCTCCTAGCGTTCTTAACCTTGCCATTTTTAACTGGAGATCGCCCAATTTCAGTATTCATCCCGCCCCTACGTGACGAGAATCTTGTCACTTGGCGTGAACGGTCGTAAATACACATAGAAATATATCGCGGGTGGTCAACAGTAGCTTTTTTTTTATTAAACTATAGTTTAATAGGGCTATATAAATTACATGAAGGGGGGTGCTACTTATTCGTTGATTCCGTAATTTTACGATTTTTTATAAGTGTTCGCCCGTGCTCTTATTCAAACTCTCCCACCTGCGTTTTTATTTACGTGAGCAGAAAGACTATATTGTCGATCCTATCCTGTTCAATAGATCGTAGAGATTTTCTTCTTATCCGAGTTATTACTATTACTTTTATTGTTTCCATTAACAATATTCTATTTCTCATTGTTCTCCTTTTCTACTTAGAGTTTTTTTTTTTACTAATGTTTGCGTCTCATTAGATATTGTTCGATAATTGGACGTCTAGACGCCAGGAAAACGATAAATTACTTGTCAACCGTGCAGCGTTTTTCGTGCGCTAGTTTCAATCGGATATAATCAGCGATTGTTTTTTTGTTCCATACAGTATTTTGTTTTTCTACCTGCATTTATAAATACAATAATAACAATAATACTTACAATTAACTGAATAAAAAACTAATGTTTTTCCAGATAACCTTCGAGCAGGCCCGTTTGAAGGCTTTAGAACATTTTCAGCTATGCATTGGTATTCTCCTTTATCCTTTCTTGTAACGTTTATTAAGACATTTGTCCCTTCGTATATCGACCCATTTGGGAATCGAATAAATACTCTCTCAGCGGGAGGATTAGCTTCTACTATACAAGTTAAATTTAGTGTCCAGCCCTCCTGAGACGTTCGGTTCTTAGCTGTAGGTCCCGCAAAACGGACTTTCGGCTCATCTATAGAGAAGACAACGGGCATTCAAATATACTTGTATACAGGATAAATATAGAAAAATATATTAAAGCTATTAGCGTTTATACGTTAGCAAGAGCACGTTACCGTAAAATAGCTGACAAAGGATAGACAGGGAAGGGTAGAAAGAAAAACTTACGTAATACATCCAGGTAAAGTCTCCTTCGATTTTTTCCGATGTCATTTTCTGATTCACACTCGTAGTAGCCGCTATCGGATACTGCTACACGATCCTTTTTCCATCTCAGCGGTAAACCTGCAACGGGTCAGAGGGCGGTGAAGTTGAATGAAATTAACTACTATAAATAATATATATTAAATTTTAATATAAAGAAAGCCCGTTTTTACTTTATATTCATTAAAATACTAGTTTTCTCTATAGAGACGCCGAAATCTGCCGTAGGGTTTCGTGTCAAAAGAATACAATAGGTCGAAGATAAGAATCGAAATGAGTGTTATAAATGTCCAGGTGATAAATATCAAAATTGACTTTTGCTCGCATACGATATATGCCTTAAAAAGTATTTAGCATTAAAGAAATAGGAGGAAAGAGGAGGAATTTGAAAA